AGGTTTCCTGACAACTTATGGAAAAGGAGGTGTACATGACTGGATAAAGCAGCGAGGGCTAAGTTTCTGTAATAAATATGTAGGTATTGGAAACCCAGATTAGGCTATTAGACACTGAAAATGTGTACCAATGAACCAGTGATTTATAAAGCAATATGGCTTTATAAATTGTGAGAAAAACATGGTGTAAGTCATATTCCAAAATCAAAAGGAAACATTAGGTATTGTCTTTAAAAATGCTGACATCTATTAATTCAAATGAGCTTGTTTATAGTATTTTGTTTCAAAAATGTTTAGCAAGTTCCATTTCATTTTACATTAGAAATTATAATTACCTACAGGTAAAAATGATTAGGTATTATTAAATTACAGCACTGCAATAACTGTACTAGATTTGCTCTACTAGAGAAGGCCTATGTAAAAACACATCATATCACTGACAGTCACAGACTTTTAGAACCAAATTTCACAATTATTTTGGGGAGTACAGTTGCTATGAAGATCTTTGTGCAAACAGAAAATCAATGTTCAGTGTTTGTGACACAGAGTCAGATTGTTTGTGATGCTTGTGGCTCACATTTCAGTCTCCCATTTTAAGAGAAGAGAGATGCTGAAACTCAAATTATTCTAAAATATATGTATATTAACTGAGCACAGTGTATGCTTACAAATGCAGCTGTAGTGCAGACAGCAACTGTTGTGTGAGGCGCTGTTTGTCAAGTTATGGGGTATGTCATGGGACATTAGGATTTTAACATGGGTTTAATGAAGAAATGCAACACATGCTGGACATTTTTTGAGTAGTCAGTAACTTAACAACAATGAATGAAAGCTCCATTCATAGCATTTCCAGACACTTCAAAATGAACATGTATCAGATCAAGCATTTCTTTCATGGCCATTTTACTACTGTCAAAGAGGAAGCATGTGGTTCCCTTTAAAAATGAGAAGTTCTTTATATCATGCAATCAAGCCTCAAGCAAGCTCTCAATCTATCTTTTTTAAAAAGCCATCCATGTCACAGTCACTCCAGACACACTGAGGAAGAGGCAACGAATGCTTCAATTATGTGGTTTCATCCAAGACTATCTCTCTAACCTACATTCAATTTGAAAACCTTGGATCACCCTGGGCATATTGTGGGAAACAAAACGCATATTGTCCTTGGCTGGTGAGAGACAGAGAAGTAATTATCTAGATATGTGCTTGCCATCAGTATCATGTACAGTGTGTGTCTCAGCTGAGCAAGTTAGATGGCTTTTGCACTTGGCTGGTCAATTAGGCTAGATTTGCTCTTGTGCACCGAAGAAATATATGACATGTATTCAACAGTAGACAACAACAACTCCAGGCTGGATGGGTGTTCAGGGTGCAGGCCAACAACAAGCCTGCATGTCAATGTCAACCTCTCCGTTATCTGAAAACGAGGTAGTTAATGCTGCAGGCTGGTCTTTTTCCCTGCCAAAAGAGGTGGAGAGGCGCATTCGGCTACTTTGGCATACTGAATGATTTATAACATGTCTTACCGTGGCTTTTGGGATCCACTGTAGCTAGCTCTGGAGCTAGCTAACCGGCCTGGCTGGAAAATATTGGTCTCACTCCCCTTTCCTCGGCACTGGTGTCTATTCAACACGAACAAACCACATTCTGTCTGTCGATGCTTTTACTCGAAGTCCCCTCCATCCTGATGCTCCCAGTCAAACGGACAGCTAGCACGTCTGCACGACTTGACATGAGGAAAGTGCCAGTCAGTTAAAGTGACAGCTAGCTGCTGACTGACGCCTGCCAGCTAGCAGCAGAGCTGTCTCCAGAGGAAAACCACAGGCTAGCTCTAGCTGCTGTTAGCAATACCGCTAACTAAATAACGTAACGCCAGGAGCCGCCTGCGACGTTTTCAACGGAAGACTGGTTCATTAATTTCCACGGGTCCTCTCCGCGCTCCACTTCGTACTGTCATTACGTTACTGCTGTCGGCGGATTTCATCTCCAGTTCGTGTTATCCCCATTTTTTTCGACTCTCATCCGTTTTTGTTCAGGACTTCATGATGGCGGAGCGGGGCGGGAGCCGAAAGGAAAACGGAAGCGCTCTTCTTCGACGCTTCTAAATCAGGCACATGAGCCGAAACGTTGTCACGGTGTGGCCGAAGAGGGTTACGTGGTTAATGTGGTTACTTTCCAAGTTGTTAAAATGAGCAATTACGTTGCCTCATCATGAAAATTATCATAAAAATTAGAGGAAATTTTCCGTCACAATTTCATTTTTAATCCTAATCCAAATCAACACCAATTAGCTATTTTACTCAGTTCACCTCGCAGTTTTCTATAAGGGGATGTTTTGTATTTTAGCAGCTTGTACTGGTAAAGATTTTTTTTTTTTGAGTTTTGGAGTAGGCTAATTTACAATAGTCTGAAACCACTTTTACCGATTAGTGGTGAGAAATATGGATGAACTCTATATTATAAAATGTGCAATCTATATTACAATATCTATATGTATTGTTATATAGAGTTATTTGGTGAAATTGGAGTTGTAGCTGTGGAAAAGAACTCAACAGATACAACTGGTTGTCATACAGAACCCATCCATTTTAAGTGAGGGATGTTTGGGATGGGAGATTATTATTTAATCCCTGCCAAGAAATGAAGAGAAATACATTTACATTTCTACACATACATTCTTAACTATTGCATAATATGCTATACAACTTGTGTTTTAACATATTTAGGCCTATCCATGATCTACCAGGTCTTTCCAGCTATTTTACAAATGAAAATTTGAATTTACTAACATTTCTCCTACAAATTTGCCTATATGCTTGAAAATTGCATGTTGCAAATTGCACACAAAGAAATTTCTGAGAGCCAACGCCATTTATGATTTACCATAGATGACCATTTATTAATAGGGTTTAGCTGTCCAATTGTCAAGTGAATTTATGATGTACGTACAATGAACGTACACTGTTGCTCATAAAGTTGGAATAAAATATTTTTTACCTCTTTCCATGAAATGATTGTGACAATGTGATTTATTTCATTTCACCTGGGTAATTGGGACACATAATGCAATCATTGCACCTGGTCAAAAGTGATTACTGATGCATTTAAATAGGAATAAACAGAGGATTGTGTCTGAAAACAAAATTATTCCAACTTTATGGGCAACAGTGTACAATAAAAACAAACATTTTCCCTCTCTGCCTTTTCCCTGTGCCTGTTGCAGTCACCAGGCTGTGATACGTTAGATTTAAGAAGCTGCTGTTGATAAACACCAGTTTTCTTACAATGACTTGTTAAAGTTATTCAATAAGTTTAATTGACTGTTGAGGGTCGGAAAGGAATATCTTTTTCATTCATCTTTTAATTCTTAACCTTTTTCATTTCTCTAATTCCCAAAAAGAAAACCCATACACCCAGTCCCCCCTCCCCCTCTTCTCAGTTTTCATTCATACTCTCCACAAGCATCTTTTCACAGCCATGGAGGTGTCCTTGCATAACCTCTCAGATGGCCAGCTGAAATGAGGAGGGAAAAAAGGATAATAAAATCGTTACTAGTTCCTGTTGCATAGCCCAGCGGATTATGCTTCTTATGCAAACAGATTTTTGATGAATTTACATAAGCAGGGAGGCAGGCAGAGGGGAAAAGGTCAGAGCAGAGGACACACACACTATAAGGATCCGGAGCTGAAGGGTTTCAGCTCAGCCAGTTCATTCAGATTCAACATTTCCATCCTTGCTGCTGACCCAGAGGTATTAATCCTAAACATTTTCATCCGTGTTTTTCACTGAAGAAATAATCCTTTTTTGCACGCGAATGTAACCAATACTCATAGATTATCACACAGTGGGATATTAGCTGTAATCGGCCTGTCTCTTACATCCAAACTGGTTTTACGCTTATATATGGCTTTGAAAACAATGGACAGAGTATATGTCATAGGATATAATTTCTTTCATAGTGTTACATATATTTTTCAACAGGAAAAAAATAAAGCATGTGATTTGAAATGATCAGTTTTATTTGTCAGTATTAATTGAACTCAGCAGTGTATAATTAGTCCAGATTTAACATATTATCATAATATGTTAAAAATGTTTTAGTTAAAGTACACTTTAAGTACAAGTTTAAGTACACTTTTTAAGATACAGTTCAGTTGACTCAATAAGAATTGTTATGAGTGTTCATCTTTAATATTCAGTGATAATAACACTCTCTGATAACTAACTACTATACAAACTTTGCTGGGAGCTTTAATCATTATTAGAACATTTTATTTCTTAATTGGAAATAAAGGTAAAACATATAACAAGACTGTGGTTTGTCATTTTAGACAATTATGAGGCATTTTTGCCTTTATTAAAATTTTAAAAAGTTCAGTGGCTGAGCAATGAAAAAAAAGTGCAGAATATTACAAAAATCAAACAATAAGTAACCAGACAACAGGCAAAAACAACACAAAATTGACTTTTTCCATGGAATAATCTTTTTAGCGCTGAAATAATTCATCAATTTGGGTTTTTGAACTAAACAAGCAATTTAAATATGTCACCTCGGGCTCTGAGGACCTTGTGATGAACATTTTTCAATGTTTTTTCATTCCATTGACATGTTTAAACACTAAGTGATTAACTGCAAAATATCTGAGAGATTAATCAATAATGAAAATAACATGGTTGCAGCCATAGTGTTTTTATAGGCCCTACTATAATCAAACAGTGTTGAATCTGCCGTGTAACTCAGAGAATAGGTGTAAGCTACTAAGAGCAGAAACTGTAAACAAGCAACTGTACCCCCTAACCTGTAAACTGATAGTATCCTATTTCCTCTGTCAGCTGCAGGTTCAGATGTTAGTCTAATGTACACAAAGATGTCAGCACTCAGCTGGAAACCAGGGTTGCATCTCTTTAGCTCATGAACCTGACTCCTCCCCGCGAGCCTACAACCACGCTTGCAGCCACACCTCCCCTCTACAACCTCCGAGCATCCCAGCAGGCTGGGCAGACAGGGTCAACACACGCTGAGAGGAAGGGCTGTCCTGGCTGAAGAGGGACTGGACTGATACTGAGAAGAAGATTAAGAAACAGACGGAAGACAGAGGGGCTTTTTGCACTGCACGGGTCAGCTGCTGAGTCTCCGCTTCAGGGGTCGTGTATGGTGCGCTTGGCTGGTGAACAGAAAACACCAGAAGAAGGTGAGCACAAATAACTACATGGTGACACTTAATTCTGATTTAATTATTCAATTCATGACAACATGTTCTATAGCCTTCAATGAAAATGATAGAAATGATATATTATGTGTTTATCAGATAACTGACCACTTTGAATTATTACAGCAAAGAGTCTTGAAAAAAAAAAAATGGACTTGCAGCTCTTTTACCTCATTAGTCTATTTGGTATTTTTGTCGTGGTAGTGATGTCAAAATTAATTTCATGTTATAATTCATCAGGATACTTTTGAGAAATGTTTTCATAATGTCAGAAAGTGAAAGACATGCACACACGCAGAGTCCAGACATGGGGCATATTGTCCAATCCCTCAGAGGGAACACAGACTCTTCAATCTGTCTTAATCCCGATTTTCTGGCTCTGGCAAACACCACCCTGTTCTGTGCTGTGTCAGAAAGTGCTAAATGAATTCATAACATTTCATAATTACACATCACTGTCTGTATTTCCACTTGCAGAAATGAGTTTTGGAGCAGCCTGCATTTTCCTGCGTGGAGGGAAAAACATTGTAAGTGCAGCAGTAAGAGCCTTTTCACATTTTTTGATGGGTTTGTTGCTAATGTTTGCAAACTGCTATGAACGGTTGACAGGATTATAACCCCAAAGGTGACAGGATAAAATGATAAGAGATTTAGACTGACAGAGAGAGAGAGAGAGAGAGAGAGATACAGTGCCTGCTGTTTACTATTGCATGCCGGTGATGACACTGGCCCATATGAAGCCATCCTGCCAACATGGGCATAATCTACACTTAAATCCAAGCCATCAGAAAATCCAGCTTCTCTTTGGTGCCACGCCATTTAATTCAGTAGGAGTAGCTATAAAAATAAATAATACATCCATTGCGTGGCAGATGGTTTAGTAGCTAAATTTCTTTTTGAATGTATTTTATGGCAGTGTTGTACAGTATTACAGGGTTTGATATAAATTTCCATACTACACTGGACTTAACCAGCTGTTCTTCTCTTTATGCAGTCCAGAGAACTGGCAGATGATGAGATTGATGGTAAATTAAATTCTTACCACTGAAATCTTTTCATATTCTCATGTTTTCATCATAAAATGCATCACTTCAATACTCATACAATCACTTTGACTCACACCATGTACATTTCACACACTCAACTGTCCTGACTGAGTGTGTTGCTGTATTTTGCAGAGCTGCGTGATGCATTCAATGAGTTTGATAAAGACAAGGATGGGCTGATCAGCTGCAAGGACCTGGGGAACCTGATGAGGACGATGGGTTACATGCCCACTGAGATGGAGCTGATTGAGCTGAGCCAAAACATCAACATGAACCGTAAGTCTTTACTGGACCAAATTTAGAAAAATGGTTGGAAAATTCTGCAGATGCACAGACTTTTATGATGCACAGCTGCCAGAAATGCAAATGAGACCATGTACGCACTTTGGAAGAGTGACGGATTTTTCTCAACTTTATTTCTTATTATTTTCCCTGTAGTTGGTGGCAGAGTCGACTTTGAAGACTTTGTGGAACTGATGACTCCGAAGCTTCTGGCAGAAACGGCTGGGATGATTGGCGTGAAGGAGCTCAAAGACGCCTTTAAAGAGGTGACAGTGAAACACTTTCCGTAGACTTTCCAGGAGCTCTGATGTTTCTAAAGGAAATGAAACAGCTCTCCAGCAGCTTCAATGCCAGATTTTGCTTAGTTACTACTCACTCACCACGGATTCATGAAGATAAACAACACACTGACGTCGCTTTTTAAATTTTCTTTTGTCTCTCTGGTTAGTTCGACGTGGACGGAGATGGAGAGATCACAACGGAGGAGCTGCGTTCAGCTATGACAAAGCTGATGGGAGAGCACATGAGTCGGCGGGAGATAGATGCCATAGTGAGAGAGGTGGATGAAGACGGGGATGGCACAGTAGACTTTGAAGGTACAGACTGTCCTTTAGACTCGGTGATTATCAACATAAATATGTTGCAATGTTCTTGTGACGTGATGCTTTTCTCACAGTGAACTGATTCATCTTTTTGTGTCGTCCCTGCAGAGTTCGTCAGAATGATGTCCCATCAATGATGGTCGAGGAGAAGGTCAAACAAGAAAGTACCTTTGCACATCTGCGGTCATGCATCGATAATGACGCTGTCTTTCTCTAAAGCTCCTTGACAGATTAACTTGTACATATTCAGAACAAACGTAATAATGTTAAAATTCAAATGTAGTGCTGCAAAGAAAAGCCAAGCAATATCAAATAGTTCTCAGAGAGAATACACAGCTATGCAAAGACTGACAATCATGTACTGAGACATTATTGTAAATGTAAGAGTATTGGAAAGATGGTGATGAACAAATAGAGCTATATTATTTTGTTTGATGATATATATTGTATATACACAAAGTCCTTTTGGGTTGTTTTGTTGAACTGATTGATTTTTTGAAATGTACTTATTGAATTATTCAGACACACTGAAATGATGTTATAATGCAATATTAGCAATTACTCTGTTACTGTTCGCCTGGACTTGTAATGTAACTCCTTGGATTACATCATTCATTTTTGGATCAAATCCATCAAGTTAAATCGTGTAAACAGGTATTTCTGCCTTTGTTTGGCAAAGAACAAAATAAAACATCTAAATATATATGAACATTGCACATGAGTATTGTGTGCCTCCTGAAAGGACGGCGAGGACACTGTGTGGGTTTCATTCAGCAGTTAGTCTGCAGGAATTTGACTTCTGACTTTGCCACATATGTGATGAAAGACTAAAGGGCCATTTCATAATTTGGCAAAGTAATCAGAAAATAAAGAGACTTTAAAATTTAGGCTACTTGTTTGCAAAAATCTATCGTGGCACATTATAATGTTAAGCAAAGATATGTCTGAGTCAAGGGGTAAATTTATCAGTCCAGCTAATGGAAAAACTTTCCGATGTGTCACAGGATGTAAACCATGAGTATAAATAATAAAATGAATGATGGCTGAATTCCATTTGCATTGCCTTTCTTGATGACAAGAAAACAATGTCTGCTGTGTCGCTTCAGTGCTAACAAGCAAAGCAAATGTGGGACATATTCTCAGAATGACTTCCATAATAAATCAATTTGCATAATAATACACAACTCGCTGGTTATATAATGAATTGATCTATGGATTTCATGTAGAGGGGATTTAGAAACCAAAAACATCAGTGATGCTGCTGTGCTGTGGGTAGAAATGCTGAGAGTTGAGTAACTTCTCTGCCCTGGCTTTGGAAGGACATCGGGATAAAGAGATTGTGTGACCAAAAATAGATGAGGCCACTGATTTGGTAAAAGTGAGGCCCATAAAACATCATCTAAAAATTCTGACATCATAACACATGCATAACAGATTTCTAGGTATTAGATGCAAAGAAATGTCAAAAATACATGCCTGCCTCAGCATTAAGCCTTTCAGAGAGGACAGTCTGGGCTTTTCTTTGAATTTGACGTTTCTCACAAAAAGTTGTTAATGTTTGTGGAAATTTGGAGCTAGAATGGGGGGAAGAGTTTAGCAGTATTAGCAGTTTGTAAAAAAAAATCTGTGTGAAAAAACACTGAATGTACCCAGAAGGAATATACATCAAATCGTTGCTCGATAGCATCATTATCTTATTTCTACTGATACACAGCCTGTGCAAATTTTACCAGTCAACACAACAATAAAAACACCAAAGCAGCAGAATTTCCACAGATTTCACTTCCCACCCTGATACAAAGGAATTGTGAAGAGAAGTCGTCTTGTGGCTTATCCCCAACACAAACTTATCCAAAGCCAGCAGAACCGAGATTAAATACCTGGGTTGAGGGAATTTAGGGATGTGGATGGGGACACACAGCACCCTCACAAACAGATGTTATTGCATGACAAACTGGGCAGAACTTCAAACGGATGGACAGATGGGGTATGAGGGCTTATAGGACCAATTAACAAAAGTGAAGCTGTTCTGCCTCTGAGCACGCGGACCTAATAACTAAACACACATCTGTCAATGGCACTCCACAGATTGGATACAAGGGGTGATAGCTGTGCCAATATGCTTAATGGATAAATAACAATATTTAGTTTTTTCTGTTGTAAATAACTGCTCTCTTGTGTGGGCAGGCAGTCAGCATGAGGATGAGAGCGAATCAGTCATTTAGGAAGGATTTATTGCTTTTATTTGTGCTCTAATGCACATGTAATGCAAGTGTAGGTATTTGAAGAGAGTGGGGGGGTCCCATTTAAATTGAGGGGTGTAGTGCACAGGGAGGTTGATGAGGCCAAGGGAAGAAGCAGATGATGTAATGCACGCAGCCCCGCCTTTGCCCTGATCCTTCTCTGATCCCTCTAACATCCAGCATCGACCTTTATTGCATTAATCCACAATAATCTCTCTCGGTCGCTCTCTGACTCAATTCCGAGGTAGCCAGTCGGCCCAGCAGCTTGTTGCCGTGCACATCATGAGACTGGCAGTTTTAACCTCCAGCAATCATCTCCTAACACTGTTAACCATCCGCTCTGTCTTTGTTTTGTTTTTTTTTCTGTATTTTGATTTGTTTATTCCAAAAGTCCCAGTAATCCTTCTGAGAAGTGGCGCATGCACCCTGGATATCTTCTGCTGGACCACCTGCCCTATAACACTTAATACAGCCTATCAAAGTCATCTGGACTTTTCTGTTTCACATTACTCTGTGTATTTGTTTTATAACTTTACATCGGCCTATAAACTGCATTACATAATACCGACAGCTATATGGTGTTTGCTTCTGGTTTAACAGATTTTTTAATGAATTGAGCTGAATGCAAATTTACATAACTAGTGTAATGAGATGTCTAACTGGCTCTGTGCTTATTACAATATATAATATAAAATAATATATTTTTTAAGTTTTTTTTTAATGACAATACTATTATCAGGATGTTTATCAGTACTATCTTATTAGAAGTGTCAAAGAGAGAACTGACTGTGAGGACACATCTGTTGTGGGGATCAGGACAGTTTGTGTGTTTGTGTGTTGCTGACAACCCAATGACAATAAAAAGCTCAGTAAATCTCTTCAGTGTCATCTGATTTAATTCTCCCACTCAAGTTCTATTTTCAAAATTTCAGTGCTTACAACAAGTTGTAGTAATGAACAGTCAGGCTGTTTTGTTCCAATCATTTTGAATCTATTCATTGTTACAGCTTTATGCAGTCTGAACTTCAATATATTGAGAATTAAAATATGAATTTGTTCTTGCAAAACATGATCAAAGTGCCGGTAGGTATGACTGAAACGTTTTAAAACCTTCTCAAAACTCCCTTATACTCCCTCACTTTTTGTACACTCTGACATGCTTTATTTATGCTTTCAATGTGAATCACTTTGATACTTTTGTTTTGAAAAGTGCTATATAAATAAGGCTTTACTTACTTAATCACTGCACTTATTGCAGTTGTAGCCTACTGAAGAGAATTTGAATTCAATATCATAACAGATCGCAAAAAAGGGTCAGGGGTCAAGGGTTACATCTTGTATGTATTGTGTTGCTTCAGTAATATGTTCTATCCTGATCTCAGCTACAGCAAAGCTGCGGTCATCCTCACTCACGTTTAGTCATTTGTGAGAGCAGTAATGGTTTTGTACATAACTATAGAGAAGAAGTATTGCATCTCAGAAGGTCTTCTACCACTGAGTAGGTGAGATGATCAATCTGTCTTAAATATCTGTCCGTAGTGTATATTTTCACTAGTATGTAATATTTCAGTTTAGATACTCAGTGCTGTTTAATGGAGTTTTCAAACCTACCAAGATTTTAAAAAATCACACTGAATATTTGTGAGTTTTCTCTTGAAAATGTAAACAAATTATATGGAAGCTATTTGGATAGTTGGAAATATAAATAAATAAATGTTTATTTATAAAAGTGTGCCTGTGTTTGTGTTGTGTTATTTTATTCATATAGCCAGATTATGCGAATTTCTTTTTAAAATTCATATTCATTTTGACATAATTCATCCACTATAAGGTGAAATACCGCTGATATCTGAGGTGTTTCATAGTTTCTCCGCCAGTGGTCATTCAATTAAACTACATACTATGCCACATTATACTGAAAAAGTTTTTATCATTGTGCTCGCTGACATTTCAACTGTCCAATCAAAACACTGCATTAAGAAACGGAACCCGGAAGCGGAGATTGCTACTCAGTAAGTGCACCATTGCACCTTCTCTGTTACTCCGGGAGAAATGTGTTTGGCAGCGCGTTTGTCTCTGACGTGCACAGCGAGAGTATGATAAGCTCACTCACGCACACTTATATGTGTTGATGCCGTGCTTTTCATTACAGCGGAGTCGATTCAGGTTGTGGCGTTAGCTAATATTGGCTAACTGGCTAGCTGTGCTGTTAGCCACATGCTCTGCAACACTCAGTTGTAGTTGTAGCTCTTGTGAGAGGGTTTGAATTAACAGTACGGCACTTTATTAATTCAATACAAAAGTGTACTGAATATTAGACTTCAGGCTCAGACATGTTCCCTGTCTATCTCATTAGATAAAACACATTAGAAAGTTCATTGTTGAGTCAAAGTTCATGCAGTGTGCATATGTTGCTCAGACTGGAAAGTCTGTCTGGATGAACTCTTGGAGGTTTTACCGGATAGGAATGATCGGGGTGTCCAGCGTGGAAGATTGAGCAAAACTGAACATGTTTGGAATTTACACCGTTAGTCAGATGAAACAAACAATCTGAAGACACTTAATATTTTACACTATTACCTTGCATTTTATAGGCCAGATGAATAATCACTTAATTTAGAGCATAATCAACAGGTTAATCAATAATGAATGATAATAATTGTTAGTTGCAGTCCTATAGCAAATCTTCACGTATCTGCTCAGTAATCGCACTTCTGTGGGACGATAAATCTGACATTAATGTTTATTTTGTAGAATGGTGTTCTTTTGATGGTGTATTATTTTATCCACACAGGTCTCCACTGATGTTGACTGGGTGTAGAAATCTCCCTTGGACAATTTTATCGCTCACCTGCAGAAGAGTTTGTACCAGGGGGAGCTCAATCTCACCCTCTGCACTCTGCTCTCCCGCCTCAACAGTATCGCACATCCCTCCCTCTCTCCCTTCACCTACTCACAGTCACAGCTTCCTGACAAGCCGACAAACCTCCGTTCCCCCTCACCCATCTGTTCATTTCTCCTCCGCCCGCTCCCTCTCTCATTCTACTCAGTTTTGGGGCCCGATGGAGCTAAAAGAGGTTCTGCAGGTGCTGGAGCAGCTCGCTCCCCTGTCACTTGCTGAGTCATGGGACAACGTTGGCCTCTTGGTTGAGCCAAGCAAATCTCGGCCTGTTAAAAGCATCCTGCTGACGAACGACCTTACAGATGCTGTCATGCAGGAAGCAGAGACCATGAGCTGCGACCTCATTATTTCGTATCACCCTCCGTTATTTCGGCCAATCAAGCGCCTGGTTCAGAAAGATTGGAAGCAGCGATTGGCCATCCAGGCAGTGGAGGCCGGGATAGCGATATTCTCCCCTCACACTTCGTGGGATAGTGTTAAAGGAGGGGTAAACGACTGGCTGGTTGGGGGACTTGGTAAGAGGTCATTCTGAATGGAAACTGTGTCATATATACAGGACTTATGGTACTTGCATATTTAATGAAGGTTCAAGCTAAAATGTTGTGACACATGACGCTGACCCACTGGTCTCCTATTCTGACCTATTTTCCCCATCTCTGGTGTCTGTCTTTGATTCTCAGGTAGCGGCCAGGTGTCTGTGCTGAGTCAGGCCCTCGGTGGCGCCTCCCACTGTCACAAACTGGAATTCACGGTCAGGAGCGCAGAGGAACTAACCGCTGTCATGGAGGAACTGAAGGCTTGTGATGGTGGAACGACACCACAGCTTTCAGTTAGCAGGTCGAGTTAATGTTTATATAGACAACGTGTGTTTTCATGGGCATCATCTTGGTGGCTCTTTAACTACAAATTTAATATACATGACATCACTGCAGACAAGTTTTGATTGATTTCCTTTCACTCAAACACCCTTTACTGTAATTACCTTCCATTCCATACAACACGATATCAACTTTCACTGAAAACTTCCAGTCAATCCAACACTTTTAGTATGCTAATTTTCTCAGAGTTGTGAAAACTCTGAGTTGTGAGTTTGTGCAAGATTTGTCAGTTTTAACGAAGAAACAGAAACAAACTGCTGTATTCACAACAGCCTGTATTGGGTTTATTTTACTGGGCTTGATTTTCAAGCCACTTTGCATTTCAAAAGTCGACCTTCACACCTCATATCAAAGCTTCCAGCACCTTCGTTACTACAGGCTGGTAGCAGGACAATGACAAAAGGCTAAAACCACGTACTCTGATTGATGACCTGTTGTCAGCAAATCTGAAAGGTGACAACAGAAGCTAACCATTTATGTTAATTGGAACATGGTCAGCAGTAAAGTAAGGTACACAGATTTTGTAGGTTATAGTTTGAGACATACAAAAAAAATAACCCCCACAAAGATCCTTTGCTTTGCCCTGGTGAGTGAGAGTGTGTTTGCCCTCATAACAGACCAGACAACAGCGGGATCCATGTCAGTGTTACCTGCAGTGACTCAGCGCTGACCCCCAGTGTCCACGCACTGCTACGACACACCACTCCCAGCCAGTCCCTCAGCATCCTGAAGTTAGAGAAGGTACAGCATGAACACATCGCTGTTATCGCAAGATGAACAACATTTTATCTCGAGTGACATCCATATTTCTTTTAGAAATAAAACAGGAGACCAATTATGTTATTTCAGAAACACAAGAAGGGTAACTGATGATGATTGATCTCTTTCAAATGCTACTTGTTACATGTCACAAAGCAGTTGTGGATAGTTAATAGTACGATTCAGTGATATCCTGTTTCATGCATAGTAGTTACTTTTTTGTTAACTAAGCCCTTCACCTGTCACTCCCTGCAGCCCCCTCTCCCAGGACACGGCCAAGGGCGGCTCAGTGTTTTGGACCAGCCGGTAACCGTGGCAACAGCCATTCAGAAAATGAAGTCTCACCTGGGTCTGAGTCACCTCCGTTTGGCTCTAGGATGGGGTCAGACGCTAGGTACAAACAACAAATCAGCTGCTTTCACAAAAGTGTATAAAGTGTATTAGTGACATTTATATTAACAACACATACTGTGACAATATTTGTTCACCAAGAGGGTAAATACACAGCTTTATAATAACAAATTACACAAATACAGACCATATTTCAAGCAAACGTAACCCAAAGAAGTAATTTTTAAAACTGTCATGGTCAGCACAGATGTCAGGCTTGCTGTGGATTCTCTTTGGATTAATAGCTCACATATAGGACCAAGCATTATGTGCCTTAAATGTGATGAATGAACTCATTAAAAGTGTCTGAATAGATTTAATTATTCTGATATTTTTCAGAGTCCCCTGTGCGTACTGCGGCTGTGTGTGCTGGATCAGGGGCTTCAGTACTGACTGGGGTCAAGGCAGACCTCTACATCACAGGTAGAGCTTTTCACTAAAAATCCAGTTTAGTTTACATAAAGAACGATTGCATGTGCCTGCAGATGTGTTACCAGATGTTACAGTATAATCATTTTTCAGGCGAGATGTCCCACCATGAAGTGCTGGACGCCGTGTCGAAGGGAACCACCGTCCTCCTCAGCGATCACAGCAACAGTGAGCGGGGTTTTCTGGCTGTGTTCAGGGAGCGGCTGGCTGTGCGGGTTCCTGACAGTGTCACTGTGGTGGTGTCAAAGGCCGACAGAGACCCGCTAGAGGTGGTCTGACCAGTTTGACCTGAATCACTGGGTAAAATGCAGATGTTTTGATAAGAGTAAGAGTAATGTCTGCTTTGAAATGTGTGTGAAATGACTGAATAAAAACCCCTATCGTCCATTCAGGCTCTTTATGTAAAGCATCAACATCAAACTCCCTCATTTAATGACGAAAAGTGCTTCCTTGGTACATGGTGTGCTATTTACAATGTATTTTTGGCAGGATCTTAATAAAAATGGACCCTGTTGATCAATAAATGGACTGAAGCATGTAATCTGTAATCTGAATGCATGCGGCTTGTGCATGCAGCGGATTTATTTACGGACAGCACATAGTGTGTTTTAATCCCCATAATCAGTGACATCAAGTGTGCCCTTTCCCGGTAAGGAGAGAGAATTTCAGCGTGCACACATTTTCCCTAAATTAAATGGTATTTGCATCATGCACACAGGAAAAAAAAAGAAAAAAAGTAATCCTCATCAGATTAAAAGGCTTGTGGTTTCATCGTAAACCTGTTTGAGGAAATCAGACAAGATGCTGTTATGTGCCTGTTCAACCGGGAGGAACATTTGTGCTAATCTGAGCAAACAAAGAGAATTTAAAGACAAATACTTTTTTATTATATCTTTTAAATTCATAATGATGAATTTACTCATTAAAGAGTGTTTTCTGTAAGATGACCTTTAGACCTCAGTGAGCAAATAAAGGTGGACATCAAACCACTTAGCAAGTACATGTCAAAGAGCAAACCTGTGGTAATACTTAATCCACTGTAAACAGCACACACTACCTGCCCCCGTTCTGGTAATGGTAAAAAAAACAACAAACAAAACAAGTAACAATCCTCATTATCGGCCGTTACAGAGTCTGGTGGCTGCAGCGCCTGCGACACACCTGTCGGCTCGTAAAAACATTAAGAGACGTTACACACACCTCGCTGCCCCCATCAAGGTAATGACCTTTCTCTTCGGTGTGGCATTCACACCTCCACTTCCCCTCGGTCCTCACTAGCTTTTATCCTCTCCCCAGCACACACGTACACAAATGGAGAAGGAAAACAACAACTAGAACAACATTTATACTTCACTCCCTGTAAAGTGCCTCCAGCTGTCACTTTGATACGGGCAGGAATGTCTATGAGCAGGTAGATTCGGGGTAGTGTTTGCCAGTTTCAGAGCTTTTTCTCTTTCCCTTTTTGTCTTTTAAGTATTGATCCACAGGCAGACACCGTTCACAGGAAATCATCCACACAGAGATGAAGCCACGCAGTTCATCCTGTCGATCGCTGAAGTTGCAAAGCCTTTAATCATGATGTAATGGTAATCCTCAGCCAAACAGCCTCCGTGGTCTGTTGACACGTCCTCCTACAAGCATCAGATCACTGCGGCCAGTTCTTGCATATTAAAGTCTCATGATGATTTGTTGTCACTTCAAGGAATTCAAGCTTAAGCAACGAGAGCAAAATGGGAAACTTGATGAAGAATCATCTGCCAAAAAGCCATGAAGAAGGAAGGTCAATGCTGTTGAATGTGTTTGAGTTGAAGACATCGTAAACTGTATTGCAGCTGGTTTGCATCCATGAAAGTACAAGTATTTATATTCAATACTTCTTTATATTTCTGCTCCACTACATTTCATAGGGAATTTTTTTTTTAATGTTTGTGCATATAATATAAATAATAGTACAACACCAACAGAAGCAATATGGCTGTATAAAGTATCTTTTTCCAATAAAACTTCTGTCCTTTTGCTTCAGTAATACTTTGAATGCAGGACTTCTACTTGTAAGGAAGTATTCTCACAATGTGGTATTGATACTTTCCCTCGAGTGAAGGATCTGAAGACACACCTGCTTCACTTGTCTGGGACCATCACCAGAGGTTTGTCTGTGTGGTCTACAGTGTTGTGTTTTATTGTGTTTTAACTAGAAAGCCCTGTCCTCTCTCAGGACAGCAGAATCGATTCATTCAACTGTTCTAGTGTTGAAATGATTTGGGTAATGCTTGGCAAGATTCAGCTGTAAAACTGAGCTTTTCATGCCTTAATCCAAGCCTTCATATAAACTTCTAGACTCTTGTGTTTGTGTAGTGGCCAAATTGCTGTGTCTTCCTCTTCCAACTTGATCCAGGGCCTGACTCCCTGCAGAGAAGGACTAACAGGCAGAGCGCTGAGAGGAAGAGGCCTGTCATCAAGTCATCAAACAGCCACAGGGGACCTGCCAGTAAACTACTAGATTTATGTGGCTTTATACGAGCTTGAAACTTGAGAAGCATTTACAAGAATTATTACATTCTTAGGAAAGTATCAACACCACAATGTAAAAACATTGAATTACAAGTCAAGGCCCCGTAAAAGTATTAGCAACAAAATAATACTGTGTATAGTATATTATTGAATTCTTAAATTGTTGATTTGTAAGCAACAATATAATGTTGCTGGTCGAGATGAAGCAAATTTGACTTTAAATAGTTTCAGTAATTTAACACATAGCAAAACATCATAGGGTCATTTTGTTTTTGCTTAAATAACCTTATATTCAATACGGGCCAATCAGTCTCTATGTGTTTATGTGTAAAATTCTGATCGTAAGGTGTTTTTATTAATGCTCTTTGTTACCTCAGGTTCTGATGTGAATACACTTCATTTATTACTGATATTACAGTTGTAAAATAATTGTAGCGAAACACAGTATTTGCCCTGAAATGTAGCGAAAAAGAATCATAAAGCAACATAAAATGAAAATACTTGAGTAAAGTACAAATAACTCCAAACAGTACTTGAGCAAAGCTACCTATTCTACCTCCCCTGACGTAAAATAACACAAATCACATGATTTTTTTTCTTCCAGAAATTATAGGCCTTAGATTTTTTTAATCACCTTGTGTTATGATCAGTGTTTGTGTTGAGCGGGGACATAAGGGAAGATGGTGAGACAGGGTGGAGAGACTGGGAGGCAAATGAATAGCTATGTGAAAATGGGGCCATTTGGCCTTAAGTGTGAAGCCTCACACACCTATTTAACTGAGCAAGTCACCACTGTGGGCATTTGTAGCAGAGGACGGCTGAGGGATAGGAACGGAAATAGAGACAAGAAAGAACTGAAACTCTTACAGAAGCGGTCTCCAGTTCAACTGAAGACTGAGAACACTTTGTTAGCAGCAGTCGGCTGAAGTCAGTCTGTAAAAGAAACACGAGACAAAAGGAGTGGAAGAGTGAAATGCTACTTTGCAGCAAGTGAAGAGGACGAGTAAAGGGACAAACACTGACAAGGAAAATGCTGAGTGTGGAGATGTATCCCAGTTTGGCTCTGGGACCACAGAGGATTGGAGACTGCTTTTACAGAGGTGAGTGAGAAGGAGAGTGTGTGCATGAGTTTGCTTTGAAAATCTTGAATAATTATCCAAGATTTTAACAGCGTACCTAAAACATTCTCACCAGTTAGGTTTCTCTTTGAAGGAACAACCACTGCGCCTGCAACAGGAGGAAGAAACTGTCATTTAGCGAATCCAGGGGTGTGATGGGGTTTTTATTTGCAGCTCTCAGAATAGAGATGCTCTGAGGCTGAAGCCTGAGCTGGATGCTCCTTCATTATTAAAGACTTTTATTTATAGTATATTAATTTTTTTGGCAGCCAAATGATTGTTTTCTTAACTGTTTAAACATTGATTGTAATTCATAAGATTACAGCCATGGTAAAGCCTCCAATAGAAGTATAAAAATGGGGTCATTGAAATCTTGATGATAACTTTCTAATCTCCAAATATGCACGTGTATTTCTTTAAATGTTAAGTTTTTACTATTTCCCTGTTGTTTCAGAACGGGAGGCTCCTGCCCACATGCCACTGTACCCCCCCGCCTGTGACGTTGCAGCTAAAGCCCTGCCCCCGAGGCTGCTGGCCCCTCCCCCTGTCCCCAATGAGCCTGTCACCAAAACCCAAAAAGACGAGGTGAAGATGGACCTGGAGAACGCGTTCTTATGGAAACAGTTCAGCTCGGTGGGCACGGAGATGATCATCACAAAGAAGGGCAGGTGAGACAAGACTGTAGAGTGCATGTGTATTGGCGCCGACCCTTGACCTCTAACTTCAATCTCGGTTCCTGCACCTTTGTTTATATTCTTATTTTTTTAATTCTCCCAGACCAATAAGACAAGAGACAAAAAGGTGAGCTAATAAACACAAGTATGTGATTTGTAATTTTCTCCACTGTCCTCGCTTTCCTAGACGAATGTTTCCCGGGCTGAGGTTGAAGCTGTCAGGCCTGAATCCATCTCTACGTTACATCCTCCTCTTGGACATCGTCCCGGTGGACAACTCCCGCTATCGTTTCCAAGGCGGTGGCTGGCAGGCTGTTGGCGGGGCGGAAGCTCGGCTGCCAGACCGGGTGTTCATCCACCCAGACTCCCCCGCCACAGGTGCTCACTGGCAGAGCCGCACCATCTCCTTCCACTTCGCCAAGCTCACCAACAACACACTGGACTCACAGGGACATGTAAGTACGGCGGGCTGACTGACACAGCACAAATACAGTATGGGACCTTCACTGTAGCGCTTGGAGCCAACCTCTTTTCTTTTATTTCCAGATCATCCTACACTCGCTGCATCGCTACCAGCCCAGGGTTCATGTAATTGAAGCCAGAGACGTGCTGAGGTGGGGCGGAGGGCAGCACTCCTTTGTTTTCCCTGAGACCCAGTTTATCACAGTCACCGCCTACCAGAACAACAAGGTAACTTAACACTACATTTCTATATGAAAGATGAGGCCAATGTTCCTATACAAACTCACCTGCAATAAGTGCAGTTCAGTTCAGTGCACCGACAATATTTCTCTCTCATAACAGACTCTCTCTCTCTTTTTGTTGTTTTCAGATCACAGAGCTGAAGATCAACTCCAACCCCTTCGCTAAAGGCTTCCGAGAGGATGGCATGAACAGCAAAAAGTAAAGACCCGCACAGAAAGACACACATACAGATACATACACTTCGAATTGTTGCATAAATATTGTGGAGAATCTAAACTCCTTTTTTTTCCTTCCTTTGCAGGCAAAGAGATGCAAGACAGAAGCGCAAAATAACTGTCTTGACAGAGACCTTGGATATTGGTAAGTGGGTTAACCAGACTTATACAGCTTTAAATCATTCATTTGGAAAGTGTTGTTAGTGTAACTGTTGCCTGGCTGCTCCTGAAACATCTCCACCTCCCCATCTGTCTCCCTCAGTGAACTGTGACCCATGCGACTCCACTGAGCTTCTGCCGCAACCCACCACCACCACCACCACCACCACCAGCAGCACAGACCTGCAGGCCCTCGCTCTGGCCTCCCTGCCACCACTGCCTGATCCCTCCTGTGGGTACAGACCACAGGAGGCCTCCTATCGGGACACGCTGGTCCCGGAGCAGCAGCTCGACCTCGGTCAGGCATTCATGGCATCCCAGATGTCTGACATCAGCATTTCCATGGCCAATGGGATGCAGGACACACCGGGGAGCGAGGTGGCAAATAGTATAATTGAAAGGTGGGTGTGTGTGATGTATGTTTATGAACGGTGTAATTTCTCCATTATTGTTGTATCCACTAAAACACTTTATTACACTAGAGGAATGAACTGAATCTAATATGATTTCTTTGCCTTTTCTCCTCCACAGATCGGACACTATGGGTGAAGCAGCTTATACCTCCAGCTTCCCTGCTGCTCAGGCCAACTCCTCCTCTTTCCCCTCAGCTCCTCTTCCTCAGTCATCCTCCTCTTTCCCCTCCCTCCCCGTCCCCGACCCCTCAGACACATCCGATCCCCAGCCCTCCATCTCTCCTATCGACTATCCCTCCATTCTCTCCTCCTCACCCACGCTCTCCTCCTCCACCACCACCACCACTCCCTCTCTGCAGCAGACCTCCTTCACCTTCCCCACTCCGCCTCCTTCCAACTCCTCCTCGCCACAGCCACTCCTTCCCTCCTCCTCCTCCTCCTCTCCCTCCGCCAACACCTATCACACCATCCCAGAGACGATCAGGCCCCACGCGACGACAGACGCCTCCTTTCCTGCCCCACCCTCGGCATGTCAGACAGGTCTGCAGGACCAAATATCCGCTCATTCTCTGCTCACTCAGCCCAGTCAGGCACTGCAGGGTGAACCTGTTACCAGCGGAAATAATTCACCCAGCGATCAAAGCTCAGCAGCATTTATCTATCCAAATATCCTGCCTCCAAATCCGGATCCTGCTCCAGCTGCTGCTCATCCTCACCCCAACCAAAACCAAAACCAAAACCAACTACCAGCTCCCAATCTGCCGTGCTCCCTACCCACCCACGGTGCCGCCACGTCGTTCGCCTTCCCCTCTGTCCCTCCACACATGCAAAATCTCTCCTTTTCAAATGTATCTCCCAGCCCTGCCCACCCTGCCTTGCACCTCCCAAATCTCAGCCACCAAGCCCCAGCTCCCTCCCTTGCTGCTGCCTTCCCTCCCTCCTCCTTCACTCATCCATCATCCTCCCTTCCTCACCCTCCTTTCCAACCCTCCTCTTGCTTGGCTGTCCCCTCTTCTTTCCAGCAGTCCGTCTCCTCCACTCCAACCGCCCATCCTCAGAACTTGCCCAATCCTTCTGCGTCCTCCTCATACCCTCCGGTTGAACTAGGTGGCATCCCTCAGTTCAACCCCCCTGCCCCCTATCGCCCGGAGATGGTGCTGCACCACCCGTCTCTCCTCCCTCAGCTGGATCCATCTCTTCCCTCCTCCACCCCTCCCCCGGCCCTCTACCCAGCCTTTCCGTCCTACCCTCTCCGCCTGTGTCAGGACCCTCACTCGTCCCTCTCCATCCCTTTCAGGCATCTGTACAGACAACACCAACACGGCCACGCCCACCCCCAGGGGTCCTACATGATGGACATGAGCACGAGACCAATGTTTTAAAATGTAGCATTGTTAATGATGACAAAAATGTTTTGGCCTTATAGCGCTTTTAGGGGTTTTAGCAATTTGTAGCATTAGTTCAAGTAGCCCAATGTACTGTGAGTGAGCGTGTGTGTGTGTGTGTGTGAGTGTCTTCCTATGAACTGAGCTGATAAACAGTGTGGAATTGATCCAAATTTGTAAATAGCTGTTGAAGATTTTCTTTTCAAATGTCCATTCCAGTGTGAAAAATAAAAATGTATCTTTTCCAGGCTTTTGTCGTTCAATTCTTTTCAGCTGAAATACACTCGAATTGAGTTTTTACTTGACTCTAGCTCTTTGGATTACATCTCAAACAAATCACTACAAAAGTCTTCTTCAGTGCACTACAAAAATGATTCCTTGCAGTAGAAACGCAGGGTAGCATACTGACCAAAAATTGTGAAAACATGTCAGACATACTTTGGTGTGTTATGAATTTAATCATCTCCCCTCTCCAACACGTCCTCTGACCTCGCTCTTTCCACCGCCCCATCTCTGCTGCGATGACATAACATATTTTGAGTCATTTTGAAGTCAGTCAACCCTTTTACCAGCAAGAAGATTGTCCATTTCTATACCAAAGTGCGTTGCATTACAACAGATCAGAACAGAAGGTTTTTAACGGATTGTTTTGACCGCATCAGACCTTAATTCATTCACGATTACTCAAGGATATAAGCGCCCCCCAAACCTTCAGTCATGAAGCTGAGAAACTGTTCCACCTCTATCAGCATCATTTTGTGATTAGTATTTTGATGCTCGGTTTGTCAGCAGTGTCAGCATAGCAAAGATTTGAGCGCTGTTAAAAGACTTTCTGTCCGTCTGTCGGGTCAGAGATACATGACGAGGATGGCGGCAGGCGGTTAATTATTTCCTCTCCTTTGCTGCTTTGCTTGGTCCCAACCCCTCGAATTTACCCAAGCTCTCTGTTATGTTCGTTATGTGTCCACTTTTCTCTGTGGGTCACAGAGGGATTTTCTTTTTCATTAAATAGTCCTTAACTTAATCTTAATGATATTTTGTATAAGCATTTACAAAAGCTTGTACAAAAATTGTTAATATTCCTCTTGCAACATCCCTAATGGAGCACAGCTTAAACTTTTGCCCTGTTTTACATTATGAAACATAATTGTAATTATACATGCATTGAGGAGAAGGCTGATAATTGCCTTTGACCCATTATTGAAGCGTCTACCATCTGAATCTCTGCCTCGGATTTCAATTAACATCCAAATTCTGATATCAACAAAAAAGGGGGGAAAAAGCAAGAAGCAACATTGATCAAACATGAGCTTTTAATGCCCGTTTAGTTGATGGCAAACTCAGGGGCTTCACTTGTGTGTTGATGCTAAGGGTCAACTTAATGTTTACTCATTTTTTTTCAGGTAGTCACTCATTAACCAGCGAGTAACGCAAAAGATTATGAATTTTGCTGGTTCACCTACAAACCCTCAAATTGCACCTGCTTAGCTTTTCATCATTTAGGTCTTCTGAGTGCCACGTTCAGGAGGGAGGGTAAGGTGCTTCTGCTGACTTATTTCTTATGCAATTTCATGATCAGTTTCATACGCCTTGGTTACTTTTGGAGGATCCTAACAGACACCTCATTTAACTTGATCTTGCTCTTGAAGCTGTTTCGTTTTTGCTCTGTTTTAAACTACTTTTTCTACACTTCGAACTCTAGTTGTCACTGTTCATTCTTGTCAAGATCACTGACAGCTCCATGCAGCGAGGCTGGTAACTGCATAATCACTGCTGCCGTCCTTTTGCTTCTCCTCTTCCAACAGGTTGTGACATGAGGGGGATCATCACTTCTTCCTGAGCTGACCTCTCAGACTCTGATAACGCCTCTCTGACACTCTGGATTATTGTATTTCTATTTAACTCACACATCAGCTACTTCTGAGCAGAGGGCACACACTTTAAAATTACAACAAAGGAAGATTTACACAGAAATTTCAAATCATCCAAGCGCCAATTGCAAGCTGCGTTAGTGACATAAACAAAGACCCACATACACACACTTCTCCAGGGACGATGATGTGCTCTCGCTTGCGCCCCTCACTCTCTCACCTCTTGTCGCTGAGGCTGCTGGGTACTGCAGCCCCCAGGACGGCGGCTGCCAGGCGGTCCGACCTTCTCTCAGCGACTCTGGCCTTTGAGGATCCCAGTGCCTTCAGGGTGAAGAGTTTGGGTGAGCTGCTCCGTGCTCTGGGAATCTTCCGCCTCTGCTCCTTCCCTGTGCTGGTTAACCACTGTGGGAAGGTGAGACATAATGTTTCACTCATGATCATCGTATGGAGGAAAATAAGGCAAAAAAGAGTCACAGAGGCAGGGACTTATTCTTCTCTAGATTTATCTTTTACAATGATGTTGCCAAGGCTCTGACTGTGATGTTTCTTTACAACTGATTCCTTAGTTTGATAGTTGATCCTTTAGTGTAATGTTGCACACTTTGTACATCTGTCTGACTTCAGTAATGCACAAAATAAGGCAGGACTCTCGGTGAGAAAAACATCAAAATTCCTCTTTTTCATCTCTTCTTCTTTCAGCTAATGTCTGTAGCACGCACCCTCCTGGGGAGGAGGGGGTTTTCCTTGCTGCTGCGGCCCACTGTGTATGCTCAGTTTGTGGCCGGAGAGAATGAGAGAGAAATCTCTCAGTCCATGGAGAAGATGAGCTTGCTGGGGCTGAGGCCCATGCTGGCGGTACCTATCGAGGAGGATCTTGGAGAAAGCACAGGGTATGTCTCATCTTCACGTCTTTTATCAGGTGGATTCATTTTAAATGAAGGGGAGGAATAAACATTTGCTTCATTTATTGCTGCACTTGACTTTACTGCAGCCACTGCACAGATCTTGTCTGTATTATGATGTTAAAATGTGCAAAATGTATCATCTGAACTGAACATCTTAACTGAAAAGCAGTCTATGCTACTTCCTGTCTGCCTGTATATCTCAAGCAGAACACATGAACCTCATACTCATCCACTTTAACACATTGCGGCTCAGCTTCATGTTTAAAAGTGAAGTCTATCACAACCTCATGTTACCGTTTATCACCTCCAGAGAGAAGAGATATGACGACAACATGGAGGCCATGCTGGAATGTGTGCGAATGTCCCACAGCAACGCCTGGAGCAGAGACCCCATGATGCAGCTGAAGATCACAGCCCTGCTCAGCCCGGAGCTGTGTGTGAGGACAATGTTTTCCAGCTCAGAGTCACCATTCATAATGTTTCTGGGGAAATTAGTTTCAAGTTAATTTTCAGTTGAACTCGTACTAACATATTTTATGTAAATATGCAAAAAAAAAGGAAGAAAGACATTTTTAATTACATTTCAAATGCTATTTCTTTCCATTTTCAGTAGAGGCTTTGGGCTTTGACATTTAAATTTGGTCAGATACCAGTGATATTTATTGTCAGTACTATTGATGTTTTTGTTGTAAGGAAAACCAGTTGTGAAATCCCCAGTTTTCCAAGGCCATTTGACCATAAGGCCACCCGGATACACTGTGTGGTGGACCTGAGCCAAACAGTTGCAGAATGTAGTTCAAACACATGGCAAAAAAAGAGATAAAAATACACACTTCAGTGTTCACAGCTGTGAACCTCCCCCAGTATTTCCCAGCATATACTCTCTTTCTACAGTGATAGATTGTGATAAGTCTGTACTGATTGTATCAAGGTGAAACTCACAACCCTGATCACACAACAACCATATGACCTGAATCTCGTTGTGAGAGCCATGGATGGAGAGGTGCGTCCACATTCCATCAAAATAATTCAATATATACACAGATATATTTACAACATTGGGGGCGGATTCTGATGTTGAATGACCTTTGAACTGCCTCTTTCAGCCAATCAATTTCCCCGGTTTAGATGAAAGTGAAGTCGCCCACTTCCTCTGTGGTCTGCAGAGACTCAACAAAATAGCAGAGGTACAGCTTCGATGGCTCATGGGAAATGTGTCTGACACGGGAGCACATCATCATAATGATATTATTTTTGAATAATGAATTATCATTTTGCATCACCACTGTGTCACATTTGCTCCTGGTCAGCCCTCTGATGTGTCTGTTACTTGTCTTTCTTAGGCTAGTGTAAACAAAGTCCGAGTCCTGGTTGATGCAGAGTACACCTACATGAACCCCGCCCTCTCTCTTGTCACCATGGCGATGATGAAGAAGTTTAACAAAGATGGTTCCTGGATTTGGAACACGTATCAGTGTTACCTGAAGGCAAGTTTTTTTTTTTACAAATAACATTTCTTTTACCTGCAGTGAATACTGTAAGACTTAAACATGATCAAATACTCCCCTCTCCATCTGCGTCTTTCAGGAGTCCAGGTCCCTCCTGTTAGACGCTCTGTGTCTGTCCAAGGACGAGGGTTTCTGTCTGGGAGTCAAGCTGGTACGCGGAGCCTACATGGACAAAGAGAGGAAGCTGGCAGAGAAAGAGGGTTGTCTGGACCCCATCCACCAGTGCTGGGAGGACACCAATGACAGGTGGATAGGAGGAAGCAGCCATTAGTTACAATCAGGCAAAGGCATCCCAGACAATGACAAAACATAAACTACATAAACTGAATCTAAAAGTCTGGGTTCAGTTATTTTTTACCTGGATTTCCACTAAAAACCTTTTTTATCAGGATTGAAATCAACTCAGATGCTTTGCTAATGGTATGGGATGAAGGCCTGTGGTAAACTGACTGAAAAACACATGCATCATTTCCCGACATTGAGCCTGAGTCTGACTCATTTCATCTGTTCACTTGTGTTTGTGCAGTTATAACGGCTCTCTGGATGTGATGCTGGAAGTCATATCCCAGAAACCCGAGCGCTACAGGATCATAGTCGCCACTCACAACGAGGAGTCAGTGAGACGAGCCGCCAAACGGTCAGACCACGTGAAGTGAAAATCACATGGTGTCATTGACATTAGATAACTATGATATAGAGAGTACCACTCCAGGCAGCTTACCATGGCAACAATATTAAGTCTGCGATAATTCAGTTTTTTCTTTATGTGTGAAAATGAAATATTTGTCTCCCTACAATGATCTCAGCTTCATGTGAAAGTCACTTGATGCTGTGTGTCAGTGGTTCCCAACCTTTATGGCTTGTGACCCCCTAAAACAAAATGTGTTTGCTCATTGATTGTTAGTGATCTCATTAAAAGCGATGTGAAATTGGTGGAGAGCGATCACGGCCCCTCAAACTTATCTTGTGACCCATAATGGGGGTCTCAAGCCCCGGGTCGGGTACCACTGCTGTCTATGATGTAGCTGTTGTGTACATCGTCCTCAGGATGGAAGAGTTGGGGATAGACAAAGATGGAGGTGCAGTGTGTTTCGGCCAGCTGCTGGGCATGTGTGATCACGTCTCCCTCACTCTTGGTGAGCTGTTATCATAAAGTTCATGACATGAAACGCAGCTGCTGTTGGGACTGAAGCTGGAAACCTTCAATTGCAGGAGCTCTGACCACCCAGCCTCTCCTTGTTTAAACTGCTATGGGCATGATGATCTTTAATGATTAATATGTTCAAGTCTTTTTTTTTTTTTAGTTTTCTCTCATGTCCCTCTCCTCTTCCCTCCAGCTAAGGAGGGTTACGCTGTGTACAAGTCAGTACCATACGGCTCAGTGGAGGACACGCTGCCCTACCTGGTGCGTCGGGCTCAGGAGAATCGCACCGTGTTGCAGGGAATCCGCAAAGAGAGGGACCTACTGAGGAAAGAGCTCCGTCGGAGACTCCGCCTGAGCAAGTAGGCCACCAGCACAGAGGGGAGACAGACAGGAGCTAGTGGTGTGAGAGTTGGTGTTAACACCCACACTAATGTTGCCAATTAGGAAATGTTTAGAATAAGAAAGCCACATGAGAACACTTGAACAAAAGGACAGTTTTAAACCCTTGTATACTTACATGTCTCTTGATATGTGCTTATAATGCCCAAAGAGCCCATATGAACGCTATAGCTCTAAACAATGATTTGATGACAACTGAGAATAAGTGCAAGAATGTGTTTTGCAAAGTTTGATGGACAAATTGTATAAAAATGCATTTCAATACATGTGATATTGCTGCTGTACATTGAAAACTGTCAATGTCTCTTTTATAGTAATAAACTACATAGATGTATGGAATACTTATTTCCTTTTTGCCTGCCCAGCTGCACATTTCATTAGTTATGCATTTAATAACAAAGACATCACAACAACAAAAGCTGTTTTTCAGTGACTGAGTATCACTAAACACATCACTATAAAAGTAAAAACCAGCTCCTTCAGCTTGTATCTTCACTTCATCTTAAGTATTGAGAAATATTACCATGACTTGACCCTGTACTGTCCACAATCTAAACCTGAGTTTCTAGTGTGAGGTTTTTAAGGCTATGGAAAATCTATTTCAGGATGATTCTCTTCTGCGTGTTCTGTATCTTCATTAGTGTGATTTATCAGAGGTATCGTCTTTTGATACTTAGAAATCTGTGTATTAGCTTGTGCACAAATTCTGCCTGACAGCCTTAAACAGTCATGTCGCTTTGTTTGAACTCTAGCTCTCTTTGCCAAAAAGAAAACTCAAAATTCACTGTTTATTATTGTTTATTTGTTAAGTATAAGTCAACAATACTTGAAGCGTCTATCGTCTGACTGCACTGCCACAAGCTAGCCACACTGCAATGCCCTTTTTGTACAATGTTCTATCATCAATAACCTTAAAACTCTTCATGTACTGGAATATCACCCCATGCAGTTACAGTGAGAAAGGCTTGTGCTGCAATGACTTTCAGCTATTTCAGGATCAGTTTTGAGTCAAATGAGAGAGAACAGCACACGGCCAAGTGCCAAGCACAGAAACCCAGGTGGTGGTTGTTATGGAATGAAGACTAATTCAGGTGGCAAGACTGAAATCCACACGGTCCAAGCTCAGTAGTTGCTTTGGTTTTGATTTCTGTAGCCGCCTCGCTGGTAGCCCCCCTGTTTCTGCTGATATCCACCTTTCTGATCTGTGAAGAGGAAAACATGATTATCAATGAGTTGACACGGCAGCATCTAAACAAATGACAAAACAAAAAACACTTTCACAAGGTTTACAGCTTCAAATGGAACTATTTAAAAATAGCTGCCTTATTCTTAATCTGACATTCTAATGCAAACAAACTCAAGTTACAGCAACAGGAGCAATGAATAAACAGCGAACAGCCTCTGCAGAAGATCAGTGGGATGTTGTGCAGCCTCAGTGTGGCTTAACATACCTCTCTGGTAGGACTGTTTCTGTTGGTAGCCACCTTTTTGATCTGTAATGCAAACAACAACCAGTTACCATTTTTTTCCCAAGAAAGCACTATTCAACCTATAAAAGCAAAGAGAGCAAACGAGATGTTCCGGGAAATTTAAAAGATGTAATAATCATATCTTTGGAGAAGTACTTCAATGTGACTTATGGTCATTGACTTACAGGGACATAACATACATACATGTATGGTATATATGGCATACAGTGGAGTGTGTTGTCTAAACTGACCTCTGTTGAAGTAGCCTCCGTAGACACCCTGTTTGAGGTCGAAGACGCGCTCGTTGTTCTCCACCAAGCCGCCCAGTTTCTCAGCGAGCTGCAGAGCCATGTTCTGCAGGGAGGTGGGCTCTGTGCGGTGCATCACAACAGTCTGTGTGGGCTGGTCAAGTGATGCCTGTTGGGAGGTGACAAAAAAAAAAAAAAAAAACATTTGCCATTAATTGGAAAAAAAACTAAATTACACAAATGGAAACTAGTTTTGTACATGTAAAGATGCAGCAGAAATCCCATTTGAGATATTCTGTTGCATCTATTCTGATTAAAATTCACAGAACAGAGAAGCCATGACACTCACCATCAGCTCCTCGTTGATGATCATCTTGCTGATGATGCTGTGAACTGTGGGTATCTCCAACTCAAACATCTCAGATAGTGTCTCCATGCTGGAGGAACAGACAAAAATTATATCGACACTCGTTTTTTCCATTAAAAAATAAAAACTTTCACATTGAGACACTGTTGAAGTTGAGCTTGGGTGGATACAAACTGAAGCTTCAGCTGAAAGCTCAAAGTACTTTAGTATTGATCGACACTAGCACTGTTAAAAATGTAATGTATCTTACCTGATGGAGTCGTACACGCTGCTGTACGTGAACAGATAAGTCCTCAGAGACTCCTCTTGGATCTTCCTGTAAAATTCATTGTATTGAAGTTATAAAGGGCAGCAGAATGAATTTCTATTTGTAAACAATCCTGAGTTCTCAGATCATTAAGACATAACTTGTAACACAATCTACATCACAACAGCTACCAGAAGTAACTGGGAATACCACACAGCACAAAACCATGCTACCTGATAAGACTGAATGAAGATACATTTAGAGATGGATGATAATAATGGTCTCTTCTCACCTGACAAGCATCTCGCGTACTCGCTGAGTCTCAGGAAACAGGTCCCACACCTTACTGTTCATCTTCTCATTGATGATGAATGAGTGGCAGGTACGCCAGTCTCCCATCTTCATGGCCTTGCTGGCGGCCACCACGTGCTCCCTCATGCTCTCTGGGGGTCCTGGAGGACAAAGGCAACTACTGTTATCCTCTCTGGTTTTTCTCTATGGATTCAACATCCTGATGTAAAGAGTAATTAGATGACATCGTAGCGTACCCAGCAGTGGCTGTCTCTCTCCCACCCTCAGCTGGTGATGGAACTGCTTGCTGATCATCCTGCGGCGGGCATCAAACTCATGGGCGGCCATGTAGGGGATTTCCAGCAGCATGGCTGACACCAGGTACACACACTCCAGCAGCTCCAGGTTGATGTGCATATGGAATGGCACCTTTTGGGGGGAGGGTTCACAGCAATGTTATGATACAATCTCACATCAAGCCTGGTCTTTAAGTGGTAGCTCCATTGAGATGTTCACTGACACAGGAATTCATATCAAGCTCATCTGGTCCACAGTTGTGGCAGAATAACAAATCATCTTAGCCATTTGTTACCTGTGTTAAAAGTGTTTTTTGTTACAGCTGCTTCACATAAAATACTGGAAAAATTTAGTTAAAGTTTAAAAACATCAATTGTAAAAAAACGTTCTTCTTGGTTAGATCCAATGTCAGAATTTAATCTGCTAATTTATTCGATAAAATTAGATAAAATAAAGATCGTTAACAATAAGAAAAACACACCTAAACATGATCGAAGACATCATTTTACTGCTTCTGTTGGACTTACTTGTCTTCTCTTTTCAATTTTCTCCTGCTCGGCGTTCCTCTCCTGCATGTTCCTCATGAGCAGACCCTGACCCAGCAGCTCCTTGGCGCGGCCAGAGGACTGGATATCCAGCAGGGCATTGTGGGCATCTTTAATCATGCCCTGCCTAAAAGCGCAGATGCCCAGTTGGACCATGGTTCTGTTGTAAAGGATCTAGGAAAAACAAAAACAAACAGGGGGTTAGTATTCTCATTTAGGGTTTAATCTTGCAACTAAATAAGTCCTCTTGTGTAGGGTTGCGTCTGACTGCCTACCTGTACAGGTGGGTCAGCGTGCTGGATGTTGTCCTGCAGGTGGCTCATCAGCATCAGGTCGCGGGCCTGGTACCAGCGTGAATGCAGAGCGTGGTGGTAAATGTGGCAGAGGATAGCACAGGTACGGATACGGTCGGTGCGATCCTTGGCGTAGATGAACTTGCAGAGACGGTCCATGATCACAGCGCTGTCCTCCCCCTCGCTCTCCTCCTGGTCCTGCTCGGACTACACAACGGACAGAGAGGCCCGAATCAACTCACTGCACTCACTAATGACCTCACAAACAAGCTCGAGACCAGACACATTAACAAATTCACATCCACTTGATGCCCTACGCTGACTTTTCTTGATTTGGGTCATTTACAACTTTTTTCCTTGTCACACTGAAGATGTATTGATGTCTGTCAAGTCTGCTGTATCACTTCTGTGCTTTTTCTCACCTTGGTCTCTCCCTGGATGCCCAGGCTGCGCCGGTGGGCCTTGTAGTCAAACTTGTAGTAGGTGTGCATGATCCTGCGCAGATAGATGCGGCAAATCTCCTCTGTGCTGCCCTTGTTCTCCAAGTAGTCCAGCAGCCGGTCAATGATGCCACAAACCCGTCCCTCATCCTTCAGATTGTCAACATATTCTGGAGAAAGAACAGAAAACACAATAATGAGCTACTAGGAAGAGCTTTTGAGAGTTGTCGTCTTGAGTCTGTTTTCTGGTATAGCTCACCTTGTGAGTGGGGATCAGTGTTCTGCATGATCTTGGTAAACTCTTCATCCATCCTCTCCACCAGCGTTAAGACGCAGCCACGCACCCTGAATGGCTGACAGACGCACACAATAAAGAAATAAGTATTTATTTTTTGCAATGCCATCATCTATCTGGGCTTTCAACACACAGCCACATATTATGCAGTTTGTTCAGGAGGTAAACTATTCCCATGTTAGTTAAAATATACAAATGACGATGCTTCCATAAATTACAATAATGCAGACAACACAGATGATAAAAATACAGATGCAAAGGTGCGGTTTCAGGGATTCAGTTTTGGGATGGGTTACCCGGCAACCAGAACAAGCTGCCATCCAAAAATACCAGGAATGAAAAACAAAACAGAAAAAGGATGAGATACCTGTTCGGAGACGGCCAGATTCTCACTGTCCTCTGCAATGTTCTCCCCGATGAAGATGTTGTTGTGCTCAAAGAGGATGTCCAGCAGCTCATCTATACAATCCAGGCACTTCTTCCACATATCGGCCTGAAGAAAACAGCCAGAATGATTCAATTTGAAAACACCAGGATTAGGAGTTCTGCTTCTAAGACATTTAAACAGACAATTAAACATATTTTGCATCATTTAAGCACAGGTTTCCTATGCTGGTTCAGAATTTGATCATTTATAACATCAAATATTATAACAAATTCTAATGGGCCAAAAATATAAATATGCATACTGGGTCTTTATTTTGTTTTATGCAAATCCTTTAGAATAATTTTTCAAGCATTTCCATGTTGTAACATTTAGAAAAACAGTCGCTCCTACCTTCATGAAAGCTGCCAAGTTGGGGTTGTAGTCATACAGGGAAGCAATGATGTTGAACTTAATCTTGACCAGGATACCTTGGCCCAAGTTATTCTCAGCAGCGATGGCTGCCAGAGCATGGAGCAGTTCAATCTGGGCAGCCCTGTTACAGGGAGAAAAATAAGGAACTTGGTTGTTTTTCACTGGTTAGTCAGGAATTTTGTTTTTAATACTAATAATGAATTTAATTGTCCATAACATCATTAAGAATAGTTATCAATACCCGTTTTTTTTAATTATGAATACAAAGAGCTTCAGTGAATGATGCAGTGTTACCTGTCTGTGCCCTTTTTGCCTCTGGCTTGCAGGATCTCATTCAGCTTCTTCACCACCACTGCTGTGTTGATCTCTGTGCCTTTGGCAAACATCTTAGGCTTTTCCTGATAGAATGAACATAAGTATTGATTTGTTGATCCATATTATGTGGTGGTTTCCTTTGAGACTAACTGTTCTATACCAGCTCATTGATATTTTTAAATCACGTACAATTGTCTATGACAGTTTATCATGACCCTTTTTACCATAACTGAATATTTCTGCCCTGAGACAAAGAAATTGTGGCAAAGACAAATATGGATATAAGCACATCTATTGTTCCATCTTGATGTAGATGATGTGATGTGATAGCAGTAAATCTGAAAATGCTTGTGTCACTGTCTCTTTACCTTGACCAGGGGGACGCCTCCCTTCACCTTCTCCCAGCCTCCCTCAACCTCCTCTCCTCCCTCCTCCTCAGCCTCCTCCTCTAGCCGCTCTTTCTTCTTGGGCTTCTTCTTCTTCTGAATCTTCTTTTCGCTGGACTTCTCAGTTTCCTGGGTCCTGAGGACAGACACAGAGTGAGTCGAAGTACGGTATTTAAAGGTTAAATGCTGGTGTAGGAAAGGAAGCAATTACTTGCCATTCTTTGATTTGACAACTTCACTTAATTCCCATTAAATGAAAATTTTTTGTCTTTAAAATGTCGCAGAATGAGTGAAAAAATAAGTAACTGGAAATGATTCAGCGCTGCATGCTTCATCCCTGATTTTTTTCTGTTGGAAAACAAAACAAAAAAAAGTGTAGAGGGAGACTCACTTCTTGAGGAAGACCACAGCCAGGGAAGCGCTCTTTCCCTCCCCTTCATCTGAGCTCTCGCTGCCACTGTCTATTGTGTCTGAGCCCCAGTCTTCATCATCATCATCCTCATCACTAGAAGAGGACTCATCCTGTCATGAGAAAAACTCATTAGCACAGGTGTCCTCTCACACAGGAGTTCATGAGCACAGAAATTAGCACCAGGTTCTCTCATTGTTCTCTCTGTAGTACATTCTTATATGGTATGCCGCCCTCTTACCCCAGATCCCTTGGCAGACTTGAGGAACTTGCTGGCCTCTGGAGCAGCTTCAGGCTTTTTCTTCAAGAAGGACTTGGCTGATACACCATCATCACCTCCCTCGGCATCACTGTCAGAAGAGGAGCCTTGTGGAACAAAAATTAGGATGAATTATAGAGATGATGCTTGCACTTATTCAGCATAACCACTGTCTTATCTTGATAGCAAGTATAAAAATTATTTATGTTTTGCAACAGAGTTTAGTATAGAATTAAAATATGGGATTACTAGTAATTATTATTGTTTCATTTGGTAAATAAAGAACTAAATACAGACTCTTTGAGGTGATAAAACAAAATACTGTTACCGTCTTTGTAAATCTAACTGTTTTCTGAATTTGTAGATTTAATGAAACTCCAATTTGAGATCACATATGATCTTGATTCACGAAACTGTACCCATCTTTACATAAATAGCACTGAGAACAGACAGACATATACTTTTGTGACTTTGTAGTTTGTCCAATGATCTAGGAATAGGTACAGGACTCTGACAGGCTTCAAACCTATTCTATATGTAAACATATTTCACCCATGAACACTTTGCAGTTTGTTTAATTTCTTGGATGCTTTTATAGAGTTCTTTTGGTTTAACATAAAAACACGTAACAGCAAACTTACCAGAATCCTCTGGCTCCTTCTCCTCCTCTTCATCTGCAGACTCCTGTGGGTTCTAACAGACAGAGAGAAGACATTGAGAAATTTCTCTTACTGTTGTCAGGATGCGCTTTTGCAGCATTGCCCAGTTGTTACATTTATATTTTTGACACTGCCAATTACAACCACAGTGTGATCTGTTGACCATTTAAGTTTCACTGGAGGGGTTAAGTACCTTGTTAAATGGGCAACACATGGATCTATTCTGCAGATCTGCAGATTGAAGCAGCTAGCTGTTTGCTCTAATCAAGAAAGCTTTCTCTATGATCTGAAGCCCAGAACCATGGAGGGAAAGTTTCCTTATTTACCTCCTTGTACGCAGCGATTTCTGTCTCATAATCTCTGTTGTACTTGCGGATCTTCTGACGCAGTGTACTAAGGGCTTTTGCGTTGTTTTTGTTCATCTTCTTCTTGCCCTCTTTGTCCTCCCACAGCTGGAAAGAAAATGATGTTAATTATTTCAAGTACTGAAAAAGTGGAACATTACAAATGTAAGACTGCATTAACCAGGGTTAACATCCTTTTTTTTAGCTACAAGCAAAGCAACAAACATGTTAAATTACAAACCTGGTTCAGATAGTCCTCCAGGTCGGCCAGAAGGCGGATATAAAAAGCAGGAACACCCTCTTTGTCCACTATATTTTTGCTTTTGAGGAAGGCTCGACATAACTGCTCAAACTCTTCCAGACATTTGGCCATGTCACGAATCTTCATAGCATTGCGGATAGTCTTGATGAGGTTGGTCAACTCCTCAAATCTGAGATTTAAGAATAAATGTATTTAAAACAAAAATTGCTAAAACAATCTGTACAGTTTAAAAGTTATACTGCTTACAAGATACCACACCAACCTTTTGTCTTTGGCGCTGCGCACCACTCTCTTAGTGTCTTCCTCATCATCACTAAGAAGCAAGGACCTGTGAAAACAACATGGATGTGTAAGATCAGTATAAAAAGTACAGTTTGAGTCCTGATAATGGGATTTATGGTAAACTGCACTGACTGCTTGAAAGTTGTCCCGGGTGCTTTGGGGGTGATCTCACTTCCAGATGAGGACTCCTCTGACTCACTGTCAGACCCGGTGGCAAAGAAACGAGACATTGCTGAAGAAAGCTGTCAATCTGTAAAGACAAAATCACATGTGTGAGAAATAGTATTTGCAAAAATACAGCCGATTTGCGGACATCTATGGAATATGAAATGAGAATATTTGATATTGTAGAAGCTGTTTTTGCTTACTACTATAAATAAGATGTAAATAAAGACTCGTTTTCTTATCATTGAATACATTCATTATTACTCATGAAGGCAAGACTAAAATGATATCCCTAAGCTAAAAGCTACTTCCAGTTAAGAAGGTGGATTTCACCTTTCCATTTAAATTACTACCTCTGGTTAGAGTTTTTAAACAACATTGCCAACACACACTAACTGGAGAAACTAACATTTAGGACTGGAACAAGACTATGTGAGACATCACAAAACAGTTTGTTGCTGTTTCGACACGTATAACGGAGGAGAAACAGAATTCACTGCACTGTTGTCAAGATATACGTTGTTTGGCTAGCCAAAAATAAATTCATGTCTGTTTGAGATGCTTCACTGTGCGATGGTAATGCACACTTTCGAGACTTTGAGAGCCAGTGTAAACATTTTAAAGTGTAGTTTGGCATGCTTCCAGTGAAAGGTGCAGTTTTCCAGACAAAAGTAAACGGGGCTGCTGGTTGAGTTAGCATCCTACGTCTGTAGGCTGCGTGCTATATGCAACAACCTTCATTTTAGAAAAACGTTATCTAGCTTTGACAGATGGATCGGCTACAATCAGACAATATAACTGATCACCCAAATGCATTTCAAGCTACAGATATTCCACCGTTTTATAAAAATAATCTATGCGATATAAAACATACAGTAGTCTATTAATTAACATGCCACCACTGAGTTATATCTGATAATAAAACGCGAACTAACGTGGCGCGGGGTTGTTGCTATGCTAACGTTAGCACCACCGGAGAAGGAGCGCCGGGCCTCCCCTCATGTGCAACCGGCGAATACACGTCTCTAAAACGAATAATTATCATACACTTTAATCAAACATTGAGGCAAACTTACCTACGTCCTTGTAAAAGTTATCCCGTTGTGTGTCTGTCCACTTTGAGTCGTTATAAAATCCAGTTTTGCTGTACAGCGGCCACAAAATAAAGGCGTGCAGCAGCCTTGCCGGGCACTTGCGTCAGGAAAGGAAGTGCGCTGTAGATCAACAAGGCATAGGGAAGGTCCACAGCAGATCTACACACTCACCATGGACACAGGCTCCGGGGTCATGTTGCCACCTAGCGGCTGACTACATGTGAAACCATTCCGTTGATATGGATGACAGCCATAAAGACTCACTTAATTCACAGGATAATTATGAAATGCAAAGCACAATTAGCCCTTCAGCATATTTATTTCAAAGATCTCACAAACATACAAACTCTAAAGACCACGTTAGGCGTCCAAGAGTAAGCTGATCCGAATGTCTTCAGTATTTGTTTTTCACTCCATATTAGTAGATATAAACACAAACAGTGCAACATTTACATGCACATATACAGTATATACTCATTTTAGCATTGTTCGTCAGTATATTTTAATATTTATTCTGGCAGTGTAAAAAGTAGTTACAGCCTCATAACAAGCAAATATTCATCAAAACCTTTTAGTATTAGTAAAGATATATATGGTTGAATTTATAATTGGTGTCCATTTCAGGGGGTTGAAAAAACAATGTTTTATTACACCGTGTTGTGGACTCTTATATATCACATATCAGACAGATTTCAGTAAAGTTATGCCCGGTCAAACAAAGCCACTATTCTACACTGAAGAGCTTCATAGCATTCATTAAATCATGTTAACAAATTGACTTCACTGAGCAAAGCAGTGTAACAAATTAGTATTTTAGAATATTTAAAATTCATTTATTGACAAAAAAAAATTATTGACAAAAAAACTATAGATATGTTATTAAATAGTCACATTGGGATTTAATTGGAGCATTCAGCATTGTTCTCCATGTTTACTGTACTTCAGCAGCTCTGGAAAAGAGGGAAATCAAAAAAATGAACAATTAAAAATTCAAAACCTAGTACAAAATAAATTAAAATTTGGGTACTGACACAATTATGAGACTGGACAAAAGAGACTCCAAAACTAAAAGAGGGGGATCATTTTTGAAATATTAAACATTAAAAGTCATGACTGAGGTAACGTTCAATGAGTGGTACGAATGATGAAAACTCACAGGGTTTTTATTACACAATGTAACAGCATGTTGTCCAAATCATTTTAATACATTCATTAAGATAAAAAAGACAGTAGCAATTCATACCTGCTTTCAGTCTCCTTATTTCTTCTGATTTTATTGTGAGTTGCTCTTCAAGCACCACACATTTGGCACATCCTGCAATACAATTTGAATCATTACATTACTGTGAACAAAGTCTCTGCCAAATATCTTGCACTTTTTGTTTAGTTTTCAGTTTTGGAGTAGTATAGCGACTACCTCATTTCATTTATACCTTTGTCTATGTTATTCCTCCAGCCAACACTATGTCGTAATGATAGTGCTAGTGTAGTAGTTGCTATCCAGAGACACCAGTTTGTGCTATCTATATAAGAAATGATGAAGGACCACTTTTGCTTATAGCTGGATCAAAGATTGTACATCATGACCATTATGATCGCTAGCAGCCTTCAGACAATCTGAAGACAATACACCCAACGACAAAGATCTTACTATGCAGATGTTCACATGCATGGAGCATCCTACGCCAGAGGTTTGATTAAATTAGTCCTGTAAGACTTCCGGGGGCCTTAGCTGTCCCATTTTGGAATATCAGCAATCCCAACTTACCATGGCCTTGGGGTTTAGCTCCAAGACCTCTATGGCTGTTTGCAGGTTGTTTCAGGGTTCTGGCTCTGCTAGCAGCATCGCAAGTTGTTATGGTTTCAGCAGTACTGGCTGGCACTGCAGTATCTGAAATCATGTACCAGAGCAGGTTAGTAACTAACAAAGAGTCAAGAAGTTGCTGAACTCACTAGTCCATAAATCCCAGCTGAAATAGCTTAATTTTTCTACATAACAGAACAGTAAGATACAATCCCAACCAACCATCTCTTTGGGTTTTAGCTGGCACAGGTTTCTGACTGGTTGTGGGCTGTTTCAGGTTTTTGGCTCTGTTCACAGGATCACAGGAAGATGCTGGAGCTTCGGTACTACTGGATGGTAAGGGAGCATCTGAAAGGAGGAGAAAAAAAAAAAGTTTTAGTCTTAGGTGATGTTAGCTAGCTTTTGTGCAAATATTAACAATGCAAGTCTTAAAAAATTAAGAACAGCTGTATGATCACAGTATTTCCTTTGCAGCTGCTCAACATTTACCCATTTTCTTCCTCTTTGCTGTTGGCAAAGCTTCACCCCTGGTTAAGGGATGCTTCTTTGGTTGTGAAGCCCTTGTCACTGGGTTAGCAACTGTTGGTGCATAAAGAGTGAGAAAAAAACAAATGAGCATTAAAACATGTTAAAAACATTAATGTAAACAAGATGTAATAATAAAATAAATAAAGATAACATAAAAATAAAGCAAGTCAACAGGCTATGTAGCAATAGCAAAACTTACAAATAGCTTTAAATGGCAAATGTGCATTTTTCCCCCTTTTTCTTGTCACATTTAACAAAAATCAAAAAGTACTCTCATCATGGCTTGTCTTGCGAGCTCTTCCATCCTTGTTTGTTTGTTTACTTGTTTATTACTGGGGCTCAGAAAAACAACTGTATGGAAATAGTGTACATATGTACAGCAAAACTATTAATCTAATCTAATCTAATTTAAAGTGTCACATTTATGCACATATTGATTTCCTATTTGTGATTGGCTATCAGAATCAACAGTCAAAGCATACAGTCTGTGAACCACTGAGTGAGTACCTGTAGGCCCATGGAGTCTGTCGGTACTTGAAGCAGTTAGTGCGTTGCTTCTTGCTGATGGTGGCCTGAGACCCGCTGCAGCTCTCTGGATTCCTGACGGTGGTCTCGGCAAGCCAGAATTGGGCTTATTGGATCCTAACGTCAGCAGAGGGAAGATGGTGTGAATTGTGGATATTGTGTGCATCTTCCATTTGCAGTGTACATAGCTAAAAAGTCATACTGAAATTAAGTAAAAAGACACTAAAACTTTGTCTAAAAATATTACATAAAAGAAAATTTAACTTTAAGTTCACAGAGTGCACTAATGCTTACAGTTCTCATCCCATATTTTTAACAATTAACCCTAAACATTTATCTAAAATACCAAGTTCATTCTAAAAAATCATCAATATATACTGCCTACCTGTTGTTGTAGCACGCAGGTTGTAGGAGCTTGATATTCCTGTGGTCTTAAAACAAGAACAGGGGAGAACTGTCATCAGTACATACAGGCAAAGCTCGCTTTCAGTTGTCTCAATCATAAAAAAGTGGATTTAGCAGATGAAACTGACAGGATCAACAGAGTTAATTTGATCTGTGTATTTAAACAGAAGGTGCTGTCAACATTTTATACACTTAGATTACCAAAAGACATTCAACATGCAAAGCCTACCCCTTGGGCTGCATCGGAAGCTGCAGTGTTTTTCAAAACCTCAGCTTGAGCTCTCTGTCTTGTCATCGGCAGGCCTGATGTCGACGGCTCACATCTTCTCAGAGGCATGATGGCTGGCTTGTACTTCAACAGCTGGGATGCAGCTTTCGCAGGGGGCAAAAGGGTCCTAGCAGTGGGTTGCGTCAAGAACGTTTTTCGGTCAGAGACAATGTTAGATGGAACGTCTGATGGCACCTGACCAACTGGATTACTGGGTCCATACCCGTACAGTTTTTTCTGTGCAGCTATGGTTTTACCGTCCTCGCGTTCGGTGCTGAAGTGGAACACTTTAGAGTTAGTCATTGGTGTGGAAGTAACCAAAGAGTCTACTTTTAAATCTAAGGTGTCATCCAAATTGAATGTGTTTGCTTTGTTGCTCTCCACAGCCATGCTCTGATGGCCCAAAGCGCCGGAAAGACCGTCCGTCGCAGGCAGGTTTGGGTGTGAATGATCTTTAGCCTCATGTCTACTAGCTCCAGAAGCTACCTCTACGGCTGAATTAGCTTCAAACGTGCTCTCAGGGGTGATAGTTGTTGTTACATTTTGTTTTGGCAGTTCAGGAGGATGGACTTCAGAAGTGTCATCGTTTGGGCTAGTGGTTGGATTACAGACTTTAGGAGGAGAGGGCTTGTCCAAAGTATTCTGGTGACCGTCACTGGAGCTGGTTTCTGACAAAGTTATGGTGCCATTCTGTTTAGAGGTCGGTTTACTGTCGAAAGTGTTCTGAAGGCAAACGCTTGTACCACTGGCTTCCCCTAAATGTGTATTGCCACTTGATTTTTGAAGAGAATGCCTATCAAAAGTGGCATTGTTCACTTCACACGAACCACTTGCTTTACCAGCGGAACTACTCTGATTCATAATAAGTGAAGTTTCAGTAGTGTTCTTAAAGTCTGCACTAACCTGCTCTGTAGCCTCACTCTGTGCTTTGGGGCTGTTTCCATTAGATGGTGGAAGATCCAGAGTCTTATTGTGAGGGCAGGATATTTGAGCAGTAGTATTTAAATCGGTGGAGGGCTGTGCAATGGTAAATGTGCCGTTCGAAGACTTGGCTGTTTCTGGGCTTGGTTGTGGCACTATACCTGTCAACTCAGCATCATGGGTAGTAAGTAGCTCTTCGTTGTTAGCTTCCACAGTATTAGAGGTCTCCACAGTTTTAACATGAAGCTCAGAGGTGACATTTTTTAAACTGGTGTTACACTGCACATCAGAGGTCTGTGACTCAGCAGACTGGACAGACATGTCGCTAGAGGAGCTTATGTCACGAGTAACATTAGCAGGATGGGTACCAAGTGTGTCCTCAGCTGAAGTTTGGCTCTTCGCCATGTTTTGTCCACAGGGCTCCGATGAAGACCTACTGCTTTCCAAAACACTACCCATAGAAATATCCCTAGTTACGTCCGAGGAAGCTTTCATGACGTTTTCCTCCACACACTTATCAGATTGCTCACTAAAGGAGCTTAAGGTCTGGGTGACATTGCCAGTAAGAGTACTTGACGATTCTTCACTTTCAATCATGTCCAGTCTGCCAGGCTCTGCCACAATTTGTCCACTCAACTCTGATGAAGGCCTCCTGTTTTTCACAACATCCACTGGGGGATTATCCTGTGTGACCTCCATAGGGGATGTTTCTGCTCCTGGTGATGGTTCTGAATCATGTGTAACATCCAGGAGAGTAATTTCTGGGAAATATCTGTCATCCAGCCAGCGCTCAGGAGCATACATGCTCTCAGGGATGTCTACCATCTTGTCATTAAGGTCTGTACTTGTTGTCCCATTGTGTTTCGGCAGCTCAGGAGGGTAGAGTTCAGAATTTTTGTCTTTGACACTAGATTGAAGAGGATTGACTGTCTCATTCTGAGGGCAGGGTTTGTGAGCGGTAGTGTTTATATTGGTGGAGGAACTCAGCTGGGAGGGCTGGAGAGTGGGAAATGTGCTGTTCACAGTCCTAGCTTTTACAGGTGTTGCAGGCATGCTGTCAGGAAGAGCAGAATCATTTCTAGTCATTTGCATTGTGGAATCACATGTATCATTAAGGAGAGTAATTTCTGGCAAGTGTTCATCATACAGCCAGCACACAGGAGCAACCTCATCATCTAGTGATCGCCCAGAATGGCTACTGGATAAATCAGAGTTGGGATTTTGACGAGAGCCTCCAGTTGAATTTTGACAATCTGCCGTGGTAACACAAAAGGGAACACTGAGACGAGGATTGTTTCCACGTTTTAAAGGCTCTGGTGATGAACCTTTATTGCCAATGTTTAAGTATTTTAAAATGGGTGTTAGAGCAGACTGGAGACCAGAGAGCCGTGATTTTGCCTTGACTCCACCATTGCTGCTTGCCGGAGCTGGGGTTGAAGAGATGCAGGTGTCAGAGAGAGGCTTGTTTTCTCCACTTGGCTGTGCAGAGGAATATTCAATCACATCTCCTACTTGGACCTTGAGCTTTGAAGTCCCAACGGCAGCGGTGCCTCCTGGTGGAATATTTTCACGACATTCATCAACTTCTGGATTTTCCTGAACACATGAGGGTTGCACTGTTGTCTTACTGGCCATACTAATCAATTTCTCCTTTTCTTTTATATTCGGAAAATAAGGATTTGTTTGTTCTTTTGGAGACAGGACACAATACTCAGACTTCCTGACACATATTTTTCCAGGTGTCCTCTCAGACTCTCCCTTCCTGCGACCTGTGGATTAAAAGTCATACAAAACATCTTTACTTTGACATTAGATCATGTACACTTACACTGTGACAATATGCCACAATTATGGACAACTCTGAGATTATATTAAATAGCTTCATCACAGGATTATGTTAGTGACAGTTGAAGTAAAAACATAACATTTTAGACAACAGACAGACTTGTTAGTAAAAATAGCAAGCAGTTAAACACTTGACACCACTTCTACGAAGTTATTCATCTAGATGACAATACATGATGATCAACCGTTAGTAGTACGTTGCGTACCACTGGAGCTGCTGGTCTAATGTTACTTATGACTTTATAACATAACGCTAGCTAGGTATAATGACTGCAGCCAGCAGAGAGGGGTCACAGACGTTGCAGGTAACATACACGTCAGTCTCAGAAAAGTCTAAAAAAAAAAAACATTAACGGATGTTGTTTTGTCAAGTTTCATGTTGAGAGGTTACAGTAACGATGTCAAGTAGGTCCCGAACGACGCTAAGCTAATGTTAACTTGGTAACGTTAACGTCAGTAGATTGGAAACAGCTTTGACTTACCTATTTCAGCTGGCACTTCTTGGTGGATGTTATGTCTGTGAAAGTATCTGAAATAGTTTACTGGAGACTCGAGCCTGTTAAATGAAACACTAATATCAACGGCATGTCAAAATAACAGCGAAAAGTTCAAGAAAACAGAGGTCCGCCACTCTAGTTCAAATAGCAGTTTTATTCTCGCTCATTGGATGATTCCAACCAATCACAGCTGAAGATTCTTCTTCTTCTTCGCGTATTTAAGAGTGAGTGATATCCATACAATGGGACAACACTGACACCTATTGTCAGTGAAACTATGTTTTAAAAATTGAATGCTTTCTTGTAATAGATCAACAAAGTAGATCTAGTTTGTTTTTCTCATCTGCACTCAGTCGTGAACACAGCCAGGGTCTTCACTGTGCCACTTCAATAATTTATTATATCCTTTTGCACCTCATAGGCCTTATTTGGGAACTGAGGGATCAAAACAGAACAATGACATACTCACTGAGTCTCTCTGCATAATAATACTATTAATACTAATACGAAAAAGTGAAAAAACAAGTTGTTCCCAAATACAACACAGTGCTTTGATGAAAATTATGTTAGTTATTTACCGTAGCTGTCACAATCACTAGGTCTCAACTTGATGGTAGACTTTGGACTAACATGTTAGATAGTGCTCTCAACCACCACCACTGAAACACAAAATAGAGGATATCTAGTTGTTTTCATCACTGTAGTCAGGTTTCACAGATATATGTCAAGGAGTACTGAAGCTTTTGATCTGGAGGCTCAGTGTGACCCAATAGGTTACGAAGACACTTTATGTCTGTTTCCTTTAATTGGTCGTTCATCTGTAGGATAAATGTTAAACTGAGATTTTTCATTCAATCATACATCATACTATCAGATTTCTCAGTATCTTGCTTTTTGTGTTTGGTGCTCCCTGAACTGATTAAACTTCCAAAGTGTGTTGTTTGTCTTTTGTTCTTGTGTAATGTTTGACTGATTGACATTTTGAGGCTAGAGTGACGTGTGTGTTAACAACCCAGCAAAGCCAGGTATTACCACTTTTTGACTGTATAAGAAAAAAAACCATTTGTTTTTCAGCTCAAATTTATTACAGAACTTTAACATAGAATATGAACATCTCATCACTGTATTCAGTTTGATAAATACATCAAAAATAATTTTTTTTTTTTGTATCATATAATCAAATATTCACACAATGCATTACAATTCATATTTTTTCACTCTTTTGTGGTTTTCTTCAGTTTGGACTTCAGTTCAGACATGAGTGGATTTCCAAATCTGGGGAAACATTTATAAAAATAAGAATTAGAAAATATCTGAACACAATATGCCTCTTTAGAGCTATATATATATATATATATATATATATATATATACAGTAATAATGTCAATACTCTTTTTTACCCTGGTTGTCTTGGTGGCATCCATTTAGGTCTGGGTTGTGCCTCATCTTGTTTGGGAGTGTCACTCTTCTCCTCTGACTTTGACTCAGGTTCCTGTTGATGTAGTGACATTTCAATGATGTATCCCCCTCAACATGAGAGGCAAGTGATTTTCAAAGACTAGTAATAGTACCTGTGAGCTTTCTGAGCTTTTGTCTTCTCTCACCACACGCGTCTTTTTTAAAACAGGAAAACCTGCACCAAGCCCTAAAAAACAAAAATGTGTGACATTAATTAGAGATTATGGAAAATAACCAGACATGAAAAACTCAGGATAAATAACAGTAAGTGACCTACCAGGCAGTTTTATTCCAATGCCCATGCCTCCCAAAGGCACACCTATAGGTGCTCTGACTGGCAGATGTGAGGAGGGTGTGGGATCCAGTGAGGGCATATTTAGCAGGGAACGGGGATCTTTGGGTGGCCTTACACAAGGGTTTTTAACAGCAATTCTTGATCTTTGCGCAGAGAAGTCCAGTGAAGATGCATTCACCTGCAATGACAAATACATCTGAATTCACACCATCTCTGTATGGTTTCAAATACTGATTTACTATGATTAAATGTGAATTTGGAAACAATACCTCAGTCTGATCTTCAGGTTTAGTTGTCGTCTGTTCTGTATCCTCAGCCTGGTTTAGCTCGAGTAGTGATTCAGCAATATCTTCTGGCTGTGGTTTGTCCAGTGAGGGCAACTTCAACAACTTCTTGGATTCAGTACAGGCGTCGTCTTGTGATTCTGTCAGCATGATTTCCTCCTGCGACGAAGCATCTGAGCCACTTCTAGATCGTCCTGATTCAGCGTGTTTGATTTCATCTGGAGAGTCAGACTCAGTCACCTCAAGAGGCGCATCTTCAACTTTAGTTTTCTCGTCTTTGAAGAGTGAGCCCATTTTGGCCTCAACGTCTGCTTCTTCAGTGTCTTTCAAATCAGTTCTCCATGATAGGTCCATTACCTCAGCATCAGTCTCTTCCTGTGATCCTGTTTCAGTCACCGCCAATTCAACTTGTTCTTCATCCGTTTTTTCTTGTGATTCGTCCGATTCCTGATTTAGATGTCCAGCTTCTGATGATATTACTCCTAAATCTGAAGGAAATCCAGTCTCAACACTTGATTCCTTCTCTGTCAGATCAGATTGTCCTGCCTCCACTGCTTCCTCCATCAATATATGCTGAGATTCAGAGTTGGGTTGTTGTGTAGAGAATTCAGAGATGTCTGCTGATTCTGACATACTAGCCAACTTGTCATAGATGCCTTGAAATGACCCAGTGCTGGTCGATTTCAGCAGATGGGTGTCACTTTGGTTTGTGTCCCATTCACTGACAGACTGGTCCAAAAATCCTGACTCTGCTGTTGATGAAGACATTTCAACGTCACTCAATAATCCAGATTCTCCTGAATTTGACTCCACAAGCTGCTCTTTCTCCTTCTCTGCCTGCACCGATGGCATTTCATCTTGTTCCTCATTTGATGGCTCTATTTTTGTGTCCATTTGTTGTCCGGGTTCAGGCCCCTCTTGTTGTTCCATGTCCGTGTCTTTTAACGATGCTGTCTGTATCCACAAGTCGAGGATTTCTTGATCAATCACATCTTGACTGACTGAGCTACTTGTTTCTTCAGGATAACTCCCCTCTGATTCTGTCACATGCTTTGCCATTTCTGTTATTGCTATCAAAGTCAAATCTTTTGGCTTGGACTCCATTGTCATTAATTCACCCACTGCTTTGGTATCTGTTAACATCTCCTTCTTGCTCATCCCAAATGCTTCGTCTGATAGTTGATTTTTTGTCTCCAGCGACTCATCCATTCTAGATATTTCAGATTCTCCAAACAAATTATCTGTGTTGTTTTCTGTGGCTGGACCAGCTGCCATTCCCACAACCTCTGGATTGAAAAACTCCATCTCATTGTTGCTCTGAATTTCATCTTCTACTTCTTCCTCCTCAACTCCATAACCTGGTTCTTCCGTATCTATCCCTGCATCTTGCATTTCCACAGTTCTATCTTCAAGTAATTTAGGCTCAGTCTCAACTGGCTCTTTCATGAATCCACATTCAGCGATGTCTTCTAGTAAACTAGGAGTCATGTTGCTGTTTTGTTCAAAGTTTATGGTATCTTCTGATTCTTGAAAGAACGCTGTCCTGGTCATATTCTGTACTTCAGCCTCAAGCATTTTTAATGTTTCATCCGCAAATCCGACCACCGAATCCTCTGCTGCTATGACTCCTGTTGTCTCACAGCCATCTTCAGCACTTAACTGTCCATCTATTTCAAATTCAACCAACAGCTCTTCAGTCACATCTTGCAGCTCTTTTGCTGTCTCACCTGTTACACCCACATGTGTCTCAAAGTGCTTTTCTGAGTGTTCCATTCCCATCTTCGAACTGTCCAATAATTTTCCTTCCTCTTCCTCAAATAAGTGTCCCGATTCTTCAGTTGCTGGTTCAACAAGCAGCTCCTCTGTTTCTTGTGGTAATCCAGTATCTGTGAGGTGCAGTATTCCAGTGTGCTCCTTCTCAATATCTTCTGTGTTTTCTCGTTCCTCTTTCATTTGCTCCCTCAGCATTAAATAGTCACCTCCAGCACCACTGTTTTTAAGGCTCTCCAACTCTTTGCTCTCCACCTCTTCTGGTAATTCAGCAGCATGGATTTCCTTGGAATCTCCTACATCCAGGAAGCTATGTGTTGTATTTTCATCTGGCCCAGGGTCATTGTTGTATTCAGGAACTCCCTCTTGTGTTTCCTCAGATGTCGGAGAATTTAGCCCCTGCGACACAACAAACGGGCCTTCGCATATTCCTGGAGGTATATTCTTAGACTCTCCGCTTTTTTCCTTTCCGGTCTCGCCTTCAGGTTTTACTGTAAATGAGGTGGTCGTACAGGCTATTTCCATGCAACTTTCTGTGTCGTCTTCTGTCTCGCTAGAAAGCCTCTCCTCTTCATCACAAACTCTCTCGTCTGCCGAAATGTCTGTTGCTGTCACATGAGATTTTTCATCAGTTACTGCACCATCGACATCATCCATCTCTCTTGTTTTGGTTTGCACTTCGGTGTCCTTAGCCACATCCTCCTTTCCTTCATCTGTGAATTCAGCTGTGTGTAGCTCTGCTTCAGCGTTTTGCACGGCTTCTTCATTGTATGTAACATGTTCAGTAAAAATGCCTTGAATGTCTTCTGAACCCATTTTGACGTCTTCTTCCTGCTCTGGCTCTTCATCTATTGCCTGATTGTCTGCAGCATCATTGACAGTTTCTTCCTCACTCTGCTCGCTCTCGTCCACTGTGTTCTCATCCTCCTTTTCTCTTTCATCCTCAACTTCATCACTTTCACTTCTATGAGCCATCGCATGCTCTTGTCCAACATCCTCTGACACACTGCCACTTTTTTTGAGGGTAGTTTGTAATTCATCTTCCAGTGAAGTAATGCCTTTGTCTCCCTCAACATCACTTTCTGACAGCTCTTCAGCTACTGAAAATTGATTCTCAACTGGTTTTGCCTCCTCATCATACTTGTTTTCATTTTCCGAGGTCAGCTGCAACACACCACAACTGTTTTCTACTTCTTCATACATCACTGCCGTAACCGCCTCATCCCTCTGTACCCTTGCCTCTTCTATAGGCATGCTAAGCTCCTTTTCTAAACTAAAATCTGTCATTGGGTGCAACATTATCTCAGTGTCTTCTGCCTCCAAATCTTTCTCATCTGCATGGTGGATTTTATCATCTTCCTCCTTTACTTGGATCTCTGTCATGGTTTCATCCATTTTTTGATGATCATCCAGTGTCCCCTGAGTCTCATCCTCAGCATCCTTTCTTCCACTTCCCTCTGTGTCTTCACTCATTGCATCTTCTGTAAGATTTCGTGACTCCATCTTTGCCTGTTCTTCATACTCATCATTCTCTGGCGTCTCACCTTGTCCATGAGTGTACAATTTCCAATCTCGGTTTTCTTCTTCTTCATCTTCTTTTGCTCTTGCATCTTTAGCAACAGGCAGTCCTGCATCATCATTTCTTGTTTGGCCTAACTGTTCCTCTCTCGTCCCCTCACCTTCCTCAGATGCTGTGCTTTCATTACCCCCACTCAGCTGGCTTTTGTACTGCATGCTTTCTTCCACAGGCCCCAAGTCGATGTCTGTGGTGGAAAGATCCCAGGCAACAACTGGCCGTGATGAACTAAGCAGAGAAGCTGTCGCAAGAAGCTGTTCCTCATCGACACCCCTTCCACTAGTGTCACCTTCTGGGTGATCACTGTCAGCAGGCTCACTGTCAACTGCAGATTGCTGGGAGGCATTCGGGTCATTGCTGTCGGTGTTATTGGGCTCTGGCCTGAGGAATCTGTTCACAGCTTCGGTTATATAGGACTATGAAAGATATAGAGAGAAAGAGTTGACTTATTTTTTTGTTAGTTAATGAATCAACATTTGATCTATTCATGTTCTAATTTCTCTTTTTTCAATATAATTTGTCTTGTGCAATTGCTTCAAGTGATTCAAATAAAACATACTTTTTCCTGATAATGGATGCCATGTGTGCTTGATGTCTTTGTCTTTGCCCCTTAGTGCCAATTAAGGAAAATACAGGCTACAGCATTACTGTACTGTAGATGGCTACTTACACAATAGCCTCATACCTTCCGGCTTTGCAGCAACAGTTTGTGGAAGGCCCCTTCCTGTTGCAGGATGACAATGCCCTCATACATAGACTGAGGTCCATAAATGGTTTCCTGAGCTTGGTTTGGTCTTTCCCCCCTCAGAGGGCTGACCTCAACCCATTCTAACACATCCTGGGTGAACAGACCTCTTTCACAGCAGGGCAGTCATAACTAATGACATTAATTATGGTTCCATTTAAAACTGCAATAATTCTATTATTCAGTTTTTGTTGCAGTGCAATGAGCTTCAAACACAACATTGACACCTTACAAGGTTGGTATGGAAGACGTGTTACCCATCATTTTTTTTTAATTTTTACATTCACTATTTACACATTCTGTAGACATGGAGCAACATTAGCATTTATCTGAAGTAATGTATCAGGTGACCAGATGAATGTAAGCTCAATATTTACTTTCCTTTTAGTTCAGCTGCAGTTCTGCTCCACTGCTCCTCTATACCTGGCTCTTTATCTACCAAATGCTGCACAGTAATTACTTTGTGCTGGGCAGGTAGTGTACAGTTGGTTTCAAATCCCTGAATTTGTTTAGTGTTTCACATCAATGAATGAAGTGGGGAAAAAATGGCAATTCAGTCAAACTGTCAGGACTTTTTATTCTCAAAACAACCTCCTACTTTGGCTGGAAACTAGATTGATGAGAGCAATGAAAGTTGCAGTTGTGAAACCAAAACAAGCTGAAAGACTCTAAAACATAACATAAAGCTGAGGGGAAGTTCAGAGTCAGAATAATAATCTAACATTAAACATTAGAACAGGCCTTGATCAGTACCGAATCTCACTAATGCTCCTGTCGCTGTACAAAAACACAATATTTTATTTTATGAGTCCATAAATTCCTGATAATTTCCTATAAAGATTCTTATAAAAACGTGTAATCTGACACTAATTCAAGGCAAAATACAGATGGTATTCAATTGGTAAACCACCAAATAATGTATTACAAATATTAAATGCTTTAAGTGAAGCCTTTAGACCTTTTAGTCAGTGTACAGCCGGTCAGTTGTGCAATATGTCTACAGGCATATGCCAATAATCAATCAAACTTTATTTGTATAGCACTTTTCACACAGGTTAGTGCAGCTCAAAGAGCTTCACAAAGTACTTCATATAGCAAATGTGATTTCGAAATTACGAATTTAGGAGACAAACAAACGTGTGTGTGCGTGTGTGCGTGCTTTTGAGAGAGCGAGAGAGAGAGAGAGAGAGAGAGAGAGAGAGAGAGAGAGAGAGAGAGAGAGACATCCATACATCCAGTAGAGGTAGACAGACACACAGGAAGCGAGGGATGACTTTGCATCCACATTTTACTGCTTTCAAATATGAAAATTACAGCAGCCCCCGTTAGAAACTTAGTTTCAAATGCAGCAACTCACCCAAACTGTCCAAAAAGTCCTCCCCACCCTGGAAACGGGACTGTCAGGGTCCATCGTCAAACTTCGTCCTCGTTGACTCTCTGACCATCTGACTTAAGTAATTTTCCTTTGGGAGTAACCGTGATGGGGGGGAAAAATGTAAATCGCCCGTCAGTTTTAAATTTTCCTACACATGTAACTTAACATCAAGCTGCATCCTAACGTGACCAGGTTGAAAGACTAGTCACGGTTCAGTTCCTCATACTGACATATGTCCGGTGTATCATTATGAGGAAGAGGGTGATTAACGCAGCTGAGTCGCCAGTGCATCAAGTCTACGTGTTGCGGATGTGAGAAGAGCTTGTGAGAAACCAGGCCACAGAGAAACGTGGTGGTTTCTGTGTTGTGCTCGGTGAGTCGCTCTTTTGACAGAGGTCTGCTTACACAGCAGGGCGTAATGACGATCCTCCACATTATAAACAATTATGACGGAAAAACAAAAGGAGCCCCTGTCTGAAGACATTTCTTCATGGCTGATTATGTGTGACTGTCATTAGGACTACTTCCCTAAAATACAAAGATCTTATACCTTGGTGACATATTTAGGGCTTGATTAACTTAATATCAAATCCCAGCCAGACAGGACTTAAGGATGTGCTTAGAGCCACACTATACACCTTTTAAAAGTAAAAATAATATATTCTTCATTTGACATATAAAGAGTTAGATGCATGAGCAATAAAACACGCCAGTTCACAATGCAATACACTCAATGCACTCAGTGGTTTTGCTGCTACAGCCTTACTTGGTCTGGTGTGACCAGTAGTTTCTGCTAACAAGTAGCTAATTTTAGCTAGCTAGATATTGTTGTGTATCTGACACTACTGAGTCAGTTTGTTGACTTTAAAACTCATCATCCAACACAACAGGAATTGAGTCGAGTTGCATTGTGGGTAACGTAGGCACCGGGTTTTGACAAGGAGGAAGACTTGCTTGGAATAAACATGACATCTCTGCTACATTGATTTTGATACTTGAAAGAAGTCCATTATGAGTCTGACAATGTTATGGGAGTGCAATGCTGAATCAGAAGGGTCCTCTTCACAAGTACACTTGTAGTAGTAACGTTTACCATTATTGCACACCACAACGGAACTTGTTGCCACTCGTCAGCAAAAATGTTCATCACTAAAGGGTCTATAATTATGAGATTCATCTTAATGAATATAAAGATATGTGTCTATAAACCAAAGAACCATAGTTTTGATTTAGCTGATAATTTTGTTTAAAATGTTACAGGTTGCTGATCTTGTATAATATTATACAATACATACAAACTGTATGCACTGTTAGTTGAATAAACGTATATGGTTTTATTGGTCATGTACCCTACAATATGATATTTGTGAAATATATAGCATTGTGTGACACTAGAATGAAAAGTTTAATTTATGCAGTATGTATGAAAGTTGCTTTTGTACAGACGTTCTACTGTTCTAGTACATCTGTTTTTTCTGAGGAGGAAGTTCCAAACTAAACATCTCAATTCTTATTCAGTTCAACCACACAGTACCCCCTCCGTGCTGCAGCACAGTGAAGTGATGCTCCTGTGGTCAGAGGGTAGAAAAAAACCACAAAAAAACATTAGTGGCCTCTATTTTGAAATGACACCTTATTTTAGGAGCAGTGGTTGACAACACATGTATGTTTTGCACAGAACAATGAACGGAAGAGAAGCACAGTAAACATTGCCTGTTGACTCAAAGAGACATCTTTCCAAAAAATTTGATTTAAATTTTATTTTCCAATGGAGATTTAGAAAAAAAAAAATCCACAGAGATCGATTATTATTGTAAAATGTTTGGTACAAAAATATGAGCATTTGTAAAAATCATGAGGTTGGAAGAAAAAAGTAATAGATGACAGTTCATAATAAATAAAGACCAAAAATGAAGCAAAACCACATGAAAGATAGTTGGACATTCTAACATGACTAAAACATTATATTTACTATAGAGACATACAGTATATTAGATATATTATATGGGATATATGAAATAGAGAGGCACTCTTCAGGTCTTTCACGCAGAAGATGAAATTTCCTCATTGGGCTCTGAAAGAGAGGGCGCAAGATCAAGTTTAAGAACTAAACATGAACAAATTTCCTGTTGAGAGAGATTTACCTTTTTCTTGTGCAACGAAATGACAGTTGCCCCATTGGTAATCTGTTACTAACTCTGAATCCCTTTCTGTATTTCCTCACCGTTAGGCATCTTAATCTCTGTAACTGCATGAGTAAATTGTTTGCACCGTCTTACCTGTCCAGGTTCGATAAACAGGAAGCTTGAGTGCAGGGTGTGTGACCTCCACACAGACTCTCAAACGTGCCCCCTCATTTTCTCTGGGACCCTTACTCAGGTTGACTTTGTTGATGTGCAATGCGCCTGGCTCTTCCTCTCTCTCTTTGTCACTGTCCTCGTCCACCTCCGACATTGTCTCCTCATCCCTGTCAATGTTGTTATTCTCTCCATCCACTTTTTCATCGATGTATTCTATTCCTTCAGTGTCGGGGTCTGTAACAGCAGCTTTTGTTTCTGTAAAGTAACATCAGCAGGGAGTTAAGGCTGCACATTTCTGTATACAGACACAAAGACTGCAAATCATACTCCTCTTCCAAGAGACATCAGAAAGGTCACGGTGTGGGCTGAGCAGGAGTGCAACACCAACTAATTGTCAAAAAGGTGTTTCAGAAGAAAGGGCAAACTCTGTAGAGGTAGTGAGCTGAAAGGGTATTTTAGATCTAATACAAGTGTAAATAAAGTTCTGAATGAAATAATTCCTCCACCTTCTCCATGTTTTATAGCAGCACTACATCAATTGAAAATAGCACTTCAATAAAATAGGGAGTCTTACAAGAGATACAACAACAAAAGTCACTGCACCAGAGGTTAGGATATTCTGACTCTCAGTAATCATTTTTAAGCTCCAACATAGTGTATATGCTGGCTCCCACACTTCCCATGATGCAACAGGTACTGTGTGTTTTATTTAACGCTGATCATTTTGCAAAGAAGCAGGAACATTTTTCTCACATTTTAACGGTAATTTTTCACCATCAGCAAATCATTTTTGTCTTAAAAAAGAAGATGCACGTATAAAAGAAAACATTTGTATATGTATATATATATATATATATATATTAATGACAAATACTTATTGCATGTCCGTTCTTCTGTCTCTCTGGCTGTTTGTTTGTGTGACTTGGCAGGCTTGTAGACCTCTCCAGGGCGCACACGCTTTTCAGCTCCCTCTGCCCGTCATCTCCTATCTCCTCTGTTTCACTGGACACCAGCGGTGAGAGAGTGGGTCCTCCTGCTGCCCAGAGTAATTTGACCTTTGGGTGACCTCCCTTCAACAGGAGAGAGAACACACCAACCCCTTCACTGCTCCAACAGACTGAGATCGATGAAGGAATGGAGGGAGCAACTGAGGGGAGTACAAACGGAAAGTGTTAGTTAATGAAGAGACAGAAGCAGGTGAATTTGTATTTTTTTTTTCTTTTTAGGTTCCTCCTCATTTTAAGCATAACAGCCAAAAGAGCAAGTTGCTGAGAGTAAAACTACCTATAATGATTCATACCAATGTCAACATTTCTCCAGTGTCTCTCAATAGGCTCGTGTAGGGAACAGTGCTCCACTCTACAAATAATCCCTCCTCTTCTCTCCTTCTCCTGAATCGTTGTCCTTCTCTTCAGAGTGGCTGTGGCCCTGTAGATTCTGGGATGAGTCTGTACGGGGCCCCACATCTCTCCTCCCTTGAACACCTCCTCCTCTCTGTCGTCTTGCTCTCCCTCTCTGAGCTTCAGCCAAGTGACTGATATGTTCGGAGGGTAGAAATCTGTGATTTCACATCCCAAGGTCAAAGTCTGATCAGGGGAAGAAGTGGAGCCGACGATTTCGGACACACATGGACTCTTCATGAAGCCTATTTGGGATCAAGCGGAAAATTAAGCTTTAATCTTTTAAAATGTGACATTAAATGTGATGCCTATTTTTTCCTCTCTTTCTTACCTTTGGTTTCACGGGTGACTGGCTGTTTCAGGGCGATGTGGTGGACACTGACCCACACTTTTGTGCCTCCCTTTTCCAGTTCACTCCGTGGCAATTTACACTGGCTGTAGGCTGAAAAGAAGCCCTCTGAATTGGGACGAGGGGAGGATGAGGCCTGGGAGGCCACAGGGCTCAGCTCACCCCCCTGACAGAACCAGCGGAAGGTAATGACATCTGGATGGAAATGTGTTGCCCATACTGTCATGCTGATGACATCTGGGAGACAGAAAGTTCAACGATGTAGCCCCTTACAACCAGGGATTTTTAACATATAATGAACTTCAACAAGAGGATAAACTATTGCCTTACCCGAGTCATTTGGTGTCTCTGCCAGCTGGATCTCTGATACTTCAGGAGCAGCTGAGAGAGAAAATATTCAAAAAATTCTATTGCGGAAATTGTGAAAATCATATAGAAGTAGCGGAAAAATGAATGAGAGAAAAAAATCCTTTCTTACACAGAATAGTAAACTTCTCTGACACCCTCTCCACCACGATCTTGTCCTTGCCTATGTAGGACACCTGACACTTAAACACTGCTGCCTTGTGGATTGAAATCTGAGGGATAAAGGTGAGCGCGGAGATCAGCTGTTGAGTGCCACTTCCAGATGAGTGCAGTGGCCCTTGAGTGTGCAGCCTGTAGTAACCCATCTCGCCTCTGGAGCGCAGCAGAGGACCCTTCTCTGATACTGGGGAAGTGAGAGTTAGACCGTAGGGCAAATGGATGGTGGTTAGAGGGTTATAGAGGCAGTTAAAGTTAGCTTTGGAGGTCCCTATGTGTGTAAGGTTGTAAAGTGTTAGAGGAATTAAAGTGTAAAAGAGAAAACATGGTATGTTTTAGGAGTAGTGTAAAAGATATTTCATGTGCCATCATACACTTCAATGTATCATTCTTTATCACATCAGTCCAAACACATTTTATTTCCCATTTCTTTAATATATTGACTATTTAACCAACCCACCTTTTGTTTTTCCTTGTGTAGCTTTAAAGGAAGAGGTTAACATTTTGGGAAACATCGTCATTTGCTTTTTTATTGAGGGTTACATGAGAAGATTGATACCACTCCCATGGCTGCATGGTAAATAATGAAGTTACATCAGCAGCTGGTTAGCTAAGCTAAGCTATTTTACCACAAAGACTGGATACAGGAGGAAACAGCTGGCCAGGTTCTGTCCAACTCTGCTAACACATTATATCTGGCTTCTTTAATTTGTATAAAAAATGTGTAAAATTCATCTTTCTACTTACTTTGCAACCTCACCATGACAACAAATCACTGTGCCCGGCCAAGAGGTAATCTGGCACATTACAACTGAAATGTGTTGTTTTAATATTTTGGCTTTTGTAACATTTACATATAATGTAACATTTACATATAATATAATAATAACAAGACATATAATATGTTATTCAGTGAACTTTCAATTAACTGCAATTCAGCTTACAGATGTGAGTTATAAATGCATTTCCCAAAATAATGAACTATTCTTAAAGGTTGGAAAAATCCTCTTTCCGCTCTGCCTAGCAGTCATCATATACTTTGTATCAGCTTGCTCCAACTTTTCATTGAAAACACAATTACAGTGTTTACAGTGAAATATTCAAAAGCAAGACATGTTTTATAAGACTACACCACTCCATGTAGTAAGAATATTCTAGGTGATCTGTGCACAAGTTTCCCCAAAATTCAGCCAGAATTTCAAATCAATGTCTGTGAGTTTGAAGAATGTGAACGGCATGAGTTTGTGATTGCTGATCCGGGTTTAAGAGGTAAAAGATGCATTCACCAGTAGCCGCTGGTTATCTGGATGTGTGTAAGGTCTCCTACCTGTGAATGAGGTGTCAGAGATAGGCCTGTCATTGAGGAACCATGCAGTCTGGACTCGGTCCACCCTCCTCCCTTCAATGCTCACTGTCACCCTGCCCTTTTGACCTACAATCACGCGTGGAGGGAGGATGATCCCCGACACACTGAGAGACTTCTGCTTCTCTGAGTGGGGGGGTGGGGGGGTGAAGGGAACAAAAAAGGATAGTGAGAGAAAGGGGTGCTGAGGTGGCAGCTATTGCGCAATAAGTCCTGATTAAGTCTTCCTGAAACCCGTTGTATATATCGTATTGTGTGCTCACAGTTTAGTTAATTCAACATGGTAGTTGTGGAAATGTGGTACAGCATATGCCAGTTAAGAGTTTTGATGATAATTGTTTTAAAGTAAAACCAGAAGCTTGAAAATGGCAACAATAGATCTTTATTTGTCGGCTTGTATATTCCTAACATAGGGGTCACATCACCCATATGGGGTCCAAAAGTAAATCTGAGGGGTCAAAAGATGGTTCTGTTTCACAAAGTCATGTTCCTTTTTTTTTTTTTTTTTTTTTTTTAATTAAGGCCTTTTTTTCCCCCCAGAAGGCCTCCAAAAAGCCTTCTCAAAAAAGAAGAAGGTATAAAAATTTCTGTCCACACTAAGACTTCATAACCCTTGATAAGGGTTGGGTTGACTTGGCTTCATTTGAAAGGGGCACAAGCTAAGTATATACCATTCCCTCAACTGCATGACTGGTTCTGACTCACCATCCCTTCTCCTCCACGAAAAGCCGAAGCACAGCAGGAAGACCAGCACTATAGAAATACACATCATAGCCACAGATGCTTTGGCTGATTTAGTCAACACTGGATCCTCATCTGAAAGGAAACATGTGAGAGATGACACATGAGGAGGAATCCTGAATAGTGAATCACTAAACTATGCATTGCATTTCCTGTTAAAAGTATCAGGAACCATCAAGAACCAAACGAGCAAGTTACAAGCAATTGTGCAGCTGCCTCTAAAAGCAGCACAGCAGTATAGTTAATAGGCAGTCAGTTTTGTTCTGTTGTTCTCAGACATCCATTACTTCTCATATGTCACTGCATGCATGTTATCTTGTCAAATGTACTGTGAAAAATATGTCTGTACTCTACTGAATTTAGTGGTATGTTTCACCTTGAGGATCCAGTGTCTCCAGGAAGGCTGAGCCGCTGACTGGGTGCACTACCCCAGGTTGGCTTACTGCACACTCCACTTTCCCACCTTGCTCCCTCTGCTCGGGGCTTAAAGTATAATAACGTCTGGTTCTGTAGGTCCCGTCTGGGTTTTGGTCAGTGGCGGGGGGCTCAGGGAGGGTTGTGCCATTTTGAACCCAGGACACAGACACTTCCTCTGGGTAGAAACTCTCCAGGTCACAGTAAAGCGTGAGAGGAATGTTGCCTGGGTGTGATGGCACGGCAGAAAGTCTAACAGAGGGGAGATCTGACAAAGACAGTAATCAAAGCGTTTTGCTTTATCAGATTAACAGGTTTTATCACAGTTTGTACTGTACTGGACACATCTGAACATCTTTGCGTCACTCACAGGTGATGTTGAGTTGGAAATCCAGCTCTTGATAGCTACCACTGTGTGACACTTTACAGCCAAAGGTCACATTCTGGTCCTCACGAGAAGGGTAGAAGGTGAGGTTGCCCACAGCCATGTAGTAACCATCTGGAGTCTGTTCACCTTCAATCTGGTAGGGAGATTGAATCACTCGCCCATCTCTGGTCCAGGAGAAAGAGACAGGAGGAGGGTAGAAACCATCTGCACGGCAATTAAGCTGGCTCTCTGTCTCCAACACCACCCACTGCTCGGGGATTGAGAGAGTAGGGGAAGCTAAAGAGGGGAGAAGTAGAAGAAATTTGTATTTGAAATATTTGAATAGAGCACCTAAAGCCCAAATCTCAACAACTGAACACAGACATACCAAGGATACCAAATGTAACGTTACTGGAGTACACCATTGTGGAGTTGTAGCTGACTGTGCACTCGTACAACCCCTGCAGGTCGAGACTAGCGCTGAGGATGGTCAGTGAAAAGTCCCCACTGACAAATTGACTGGTGTCCCAGCTGAAGCCTTCCTTTATTTGTGTTGCTGCTTTTCCGAATGAGGCGATGTCAGAGCCGTGACTTATCCAGCTGACGTTGAGGAGAGACTGGTCCATTTTGTCCCCTTTTACAGAATCGGGGAGCGTCACATTGCAGGGGAGGGTTGCATTTGTATTTGGGCTGGCCTGAATTTCACTTGGAGACACTGTAAGCAGAGAAAGAGCATTTAGATGGAGAGAAAATAAAGAGCTTTTATTGAAGAGCGCTCACGGATACTCTTTCAGGGCGGGCAAGAAAGATGTGATTGTGTGAAAGTGCCTTTAATATTTGGTTAATGATTGAGTTTGATCTTCAGCAGTAGTTTTAAGTGAAAATACAGTCAGGTCAGAACACAGGATGGCTAAATGTCTGTAAAGTTTGATAGGTTTGAAGTTTTTTTTAATAAACTGCTTTTTAGGAAGTTTCATAACAAGCCAACAGTCACTATACCTTACACTGTGAAATAACAGTTTTAACTTTCTTAAAATTAAAATGTGAACCCATTAACAATAAAACCCACCTTCGTTCAGTTAAATACACTCATGGGTAATTAAGCAAAGACATAAACACACAGCGCCAATCTGTAAATGTCACTTGTAGCCAGGGGGGCTGCCCAGCAAAAGTTACAAAATCTCCCTTTTATATCTTTTCTTTTCATAGATCTTACAATAACTGCCATTAGAATACTATACAAACAAAACACAAATAGCATTTGTCCAGTTTGTTTATTTCAATTGAAAAATGTCATAAGTTTAAATCAACAGTGACAAGGAATTGTAAGTCAAGAGTTTGAGTTTCATGAAATTTTCCATTTCACATTCTTTCTTTTTATCCTTCATTGCAAATCAGTAACCTCAGTATAGCTCATTGAATCGGTGTAATACCACACCAGTGTAAATATAAAGCCTTTCAGTCAGGTCTGACAACCCAATCAGCTTAATTAGTAACTAGTACAATAAATACTTGTTGGCAGGTATCGAGCCAAGCAATAGTAAACTTGTGTTTATGTTGCACCTCTTGTCAAGTGTTATAGATGGGCCGATCATAGCAGGGTGACAAGGAAAAGAATCAGTTTAAAAAGACATGATTAACACTTTACTTTAGTACCATTTTTACCTACAAAAGAACATTACTGACACTAATTTGCATGTGGTCCAAATAGATTGAGACGAATGTATTCATTTAAAACATACAGGCCAGTTCAGAGCATTAATTATTTAAATGTGGAAGAAAATATGAGTGTCTGATTGTTAGAATATACTTTTCATTGCTTGCAATTGTAATTATCATCATCTAATCATTTAGACATAATAGTATACACAAAGATATATACACACAAAAATGTATTATTAGACTATGGATTATTAGACAATATTATATTATTGGACTATGGATGGATGGATAATATGAAATTTACATTGCAAAATCATGTGTCATATGTCATAATAAAGGAATATGAAAATATAAAAATTCAATCTAGAGACATTTTGTACCATAGCCAGACTGGAATGTATGGTTTTGGCCAATTTGATTGAATTAGAATTCCTGAAAAATCACATTATTTCATTACACTGATCTTATGATCCTGATCCAAAAATCATTCAAAATCACATTATTTGCTGATTTCCAACATCACTCACATTGGCATAATACAACAAGAGATCATATCAATATATCAATATATAGAAAAATAGCAAATCTCTCACTTTATGTACTGACATATTGTCCAAACCTGAAACACTATCTGTAATGCTCCAATAGTTTTAGTGCTCCTGGCATGCACTCCTGACAAGTTTACCATGAATCGACTCAAAATAAAGGTCAGGTGCATGTTGACATTGACATCTCTGAATATGATCAACAAGCACCATCTAGACTTTTACATTATTTACATTACTTTAACTCCCACCTCATAAACCACCAAAAGATCCTCACAAACTAATAATTTAAATTCAGATTTAATACCGTAAAACATGCCCGTTCTAAGACTTCAATTTCAGAGTAAATCTGAAACAGCTCAGCATCAATATTTCGAATTGCACCTGGTCAGCTCAAAGTTGTGGTCGTTGGGTGAAGAAACAACAATGTAGCCTTTGTAACAGGCTTGTGAGTGCAATGATACAATACTCACCATGCTTTATGAGAGTCAGGAGGACGACATAGACGAGGACTTTACACCGCATGGCCGGGCTTGTCTTGAGACCAACGTCTTATCATCAGGCCCTTTCGCTGGCTTATATAGAGCTATGTGATGACAGTGGGCAGGATTGTCCTGACAGATGGATAATAAGAAATATTGTCCCTGGGCCTCACAGGAGTGAAAGGAGGCCCTTGATATGTGTGTCGAAATAAGCAAACCTTAGAGGATTGATAGAGCGAGAGGGAGAGGAGGGGAAAAGGAGTTTGATGTGCAGGGACACACAAGTGAGGAAACTGGTCACTTAAAATTCAGACGGGCCTCTAGCCAAGGTTTTGGGGCTACTTTACATTGGTGCAGTGTTGCCATGAATAAACAGAGAGGGTAATCCCACTGAGTTTATGTGGGCAAACACTCAGGCGAGACTACAAGTCCTTTCTCTCTGGGGAAAAGTTAGTGTGGTGTTGCATTTAGGAGAAAAAAGGATAGGAAAGGAAAGGATTTTTTTCTCTCTGTACAGGCCCTCTATCTTTTCAGTCAGCTCCTGCTATGATCCATTCCTCTGGTTCAAGTTAATTTTTAACCAGATCAAGTGCTTGATGTTTGAACGAAAAGGTGTTGTGCGTTTCATCCCCCTCTGAATATTCATTAACTTGATAAGCTGTTTAAATTGTTTGACTTTGCACTTTAATTGATCGTAACACACATCAGTCAGTGGACATGGGTTAATGTCTTATTTGGAGATCACACAGGATCACTGCGTCGGTTGAAATGTTTTCTCTGACAATTCCCCTTTATGTTTTCTCATTTTGACTTTGCTTTAACTGACAACAAAAGTGAAACTTGAAAGTGCTAAAAAAAAAAAAAAGAAAAGAGGTGATTAATGTGTTTCATTTCCTTGTTTGTGTTTGGTTCTCTGCAGTCAGATGTGACTGAACATCGTTTTCTCACCTTTCTTTTTCTGACACTCTACTTCCTTTCATCGGCTTGAAAGATTGAGTGCACTTCAGGTGGGTTGGAGAAAAGGAGGGACATGGGGGTTTGATGGAGGGAACAAGCGTTAATGGAAAGATTGACATAACTTAACAAGTGTGAAGAAGTTTTGATTATCTTGTTGTGACATCATCCATGACATCAGTGTCAAAATGAATATGTACAAAGAACAATTTTGTCCCTGATAATTGGAAATATGAGGAAAAATGTTTATGATTTGAATACTAGTATATAAGGTGTGTATATAAGGTGCAATAGGCTGCAGTGTTACACACAGTAACAGAAATGAGAGTTTCGTCCTAGCGTTGTATTTTTTTGTTAGGGACTTTTATGGACATGCACTGGCTCCTGTTATTGTCTTATTTCTTAATTGTTTTTATTTATTATTTGTTCATTTATTGTTCTGTGTGTAAGTGTGTGTGAGTGAGGGGGTGGGAGGGTTGTTTTTTTATTGCTTTTATTCTGTAAAGCACCTTGTGTTACATTGTTTGTATGAAAAGTGCTATATAAATAAAGTCTGATTGATTGATTGACAAAATAAATATATTCATTTATTTATTTATTGTTGCATTGGTGGGGAAAATAAGTATTATAATATACCACCTTCAACCTGCATCTGTCTGTCACGCGTCAGGGTGGAGAAGCAAGGAGAGCAATTATCTTGATTTGAATGTACCGAAAAACAATTTGACCTCAATTCCGGGATTCCATTGCTCTTACCTCTGCTAAGCACAGACGTGACATTTTAATTACACATCTGTTGGGCTTTGTTTGAAAACACACAGAGCAGAATAGTCGTTTTAAAAGGCTACTTTTATCAGCCTCTCAAAAAGAAGTTTCAGAAACATTGTATTTCAAGTCTACAGTGATTCTTTATTATGCTTCCTGAGCTTTCACTATAGATATGGATGAACTTCTGATAGAAATGTGAAGATTTTGAGGACCACTACTAAAAAGCGGATATGTATTCAGTGTTGGGGAGTAGTGAACTACATCTAACTGTGGCAATTCTACAGTCCAATCAGCCCTCATCATAATTATGTAATAAAAATCTGACACCAATAAAAAATGTACAAAATCTTTTTTTTTATTCCAAATGTTCACATTTGAACACACAGAACAATAAAAACCTAAATAAATAACAAAATTAACTACATGTTGGCACATTGTAAAAGGCCAGTGCAACTTAACACATAAAGCCTCTTTAAATGCACAGTATGTCACTTCTACTGCTAGAGGTCTCTCAATCAAAAAAATAACAAAAGACAGCATTGGGTGATGTGACAGAGTTGCCACACAGCTTCACTCGGTTTGGATTCCTTCAGTGTCAGTTGTTCAGCAGGTTTTTACCAGGGGCCGAATTATCCGCGGAGGTCTTCTCTCCAGAACAAACAGCCCCGGTGATTATAACCAGTAAAAACGCTGAATAAAACAGCTTCTCATTTAAAATGAGAGTTTCACTGACGCTATACAGTGGACACGAGACGTCAGGGAAAGGTTGCGAGCTGAGATTACTGCTAACCTTTGTTTTGATCGTTCCTCCAATAACTTATGAACCAAACGTTCAGGAGGTTTTTAACAGCAGCCAAATTATCCACTGAGTTGTCTTCCTCTCCTAAATAAACGGACCAGGGGATTTAAACTGGTAGAAACCAAATAAAGCAGTTTCACGTTAGAAATCAGACATCCGATGACTAAAATTCTTCCTCTGGTTAATATACCAACTTCTCTTTGGCTGGGAACCACAATGCTAACGCACGCGCATAGGGGATATGATGTGAATGACAGGCGACGAAATGAAATGGCACGTTACCATGATTAAAATCATGTATTTCTCTATGTTTGAGAATTGCTAGAAACATTTTGGATAATGTAAATACACAGCTCAAAAGTATATGACATAGGTCTAGTTGTTTTAGACATTGGAATGTGGTAATGTTACATATTATAACTTTAAGGGAGGTTTCCTACTGAGTGGTGTTGGCAACTTAGAAACTTAGATTTGACAAGCTTGAAGACGTCTATAGCTACTTTTTTTTTTTTTTTTTTTAAAGCTGCTGGCAGCATATATAGTGACTTTTTGGACAGACTTTAACTCTCTCTCCCTCACAGTGAATAAGGTGTAAAGCTGCTCTCTGACAATGTTGAGTGGGAGGGAAACAGCAGCAGCACGTTCAGTGGATTAATTAGGCCTGCCAGCCAAACAGAGACGTGAAGGAGCTGTGAATAGGCATACCCAATGACCAGTCATTGATCCCCATTGTTTTCATTCTAAATGATTTAACTTAACTTTTTCTAAGGTTTGATTTTGATTTGTCAAAGAGTTACCAATAGTGAATTTATCCCAGTGCTCTATTTGTGATACTACTGTTACAGTCTATGCAACAGCCTGCAGTTTTTTTTTAATATTAGAGTGTTTGATTTAGATGCACATTGAGGAGCTGCTTGAATACTTGAACTTGAATTGCATAGTTGCAGACTAGTTTAATGCAAGTTTAGTTTAATTATTGTTAGATTTTTTTTTTTTTTTTTAAATCTTGTATGTACGCCATGTGCAGGCTTTACTGAAAATGGTTGGCAATGCTGCTTCTGAGATGTCATTGCAAATCATCCAGGGAATGACACGGCCCCTTCAGAGACATTTCCTACTGAGATGTAAGTTCCTTGAGGGGAGGGAGCTGCAGTTTGTCAGCCCTCTGTGGCCTCCTAATAGCCTGGGACCCCAAGCAGTTTCCTGCCTTGCCTGTTTACAAGCTGTGCCTCTGATAATTAACTAGTAGTTTAACAACATTTTGCAGTAGACTGCTGGAAGTTCAGATACATTCATATGTGCATAGTGATTCAATTAGTTTAATTACTTTTTCTTTTTTTTTTTTTTGCCATTTTTGTGTATTAAACAACTGACACTACAAACAATTCAGGGCCATAAAAGGAAATTAATTAACATTATTTCTCTACTGTAATTGAACAGCCTTTGACTGTCCCAGACCACTGTGAAGACTTACCCAGGCAATGCATTTGTCATGCAGTCACCACCACACACTTGGCCTTTGAGTAGTGCATGTGCAAAAGCCAAGGGTGGGAGTTGCTCAACGCTCACACAGAAACAACATCATGGTGGATAAGTCTCCCTAATCTCAGCATGAAGAAGAATCACCATGGCAAAATTTAAACATTTATTGTATACAAAACCAAAACTTGAAATTCATTGCACTTTCCCATGAATAGTGAGCTATTTTAGTTTTTGTGTTTCTGCATAACTTGTGAACAATAAGGCACTTGCAATGAAGGTGGAAACAGCTAGCCTGGCTCTGTCCAAAATTAAGTCAAATCCTGCCTGAAGTCTGTAAAAGAAACAATACCAAAACAGCTGTGCACTGTCTCAACCAGGACAAAATAAATTAACATAATACTGTGAATGAAATACCATTACACACAACCTGGCTGACTTGTATTACAGCATACTAAACAGTACACAGACTGGCAACTTGAACTATCTGCAGTTAAATTGTTTAATATTATAGTTAGTAAGTTAGTTTAATAGTTTAAAACAGAAAAGAAAGACACATTTAAACTCTGTTCATTCCACTTTCTAAAAGTTGTTTCTTTTTGATCAAACATTAAGTTTGTTGTGGAGTCATACAGTAATAAACTCAACAAAAAGGCATGCTGCACGTTGGTATCAAGAAAAAATTTCCTACTTTCTTGGAAACAAAGTAGGTACAATTGAACAGAGCTGATGAATGTATACCAGAGGTACTGACCAATTCTTACCATAGGTACCCATTACTCCGAACTACTGGAACAGGTTTGAGTAGGGTGTGGTGGCTTGATTATAAATAGAGTGTTGTGTAGTGTAGAGTGACAAAGAGCAAACCTACATCGGAGAGACAGTGCTTACTGAAAACAAAATATTAATGACAACACAGAATGACAGCCGGGACTGCACTGATACTCTTGACATGGACAGTCCTCACTGGGCAAGGTGAGCTTTTACACTGAGTTAGCAATTTATTCCACCTTTACAATCTATTTCAAACCATAAAATTCCCTTTTTTTAAAGCTTATGTTTAGTTTTTGTAAACAGTGTTAGAGAGGTTTTCATTCAACTTTATTTTTGAGGCTATAGTTAATGGTGTTGAACTTAACTGTATTTCGTTAAAATGTCTGTCTAATGTTTTTCTTTTCTTTTACACTCAGTAGAAACTATTAAAAATCACTCTAAATATGATGTGAATACAAGCTTACAAAGTTGTTGTATTGTACATTATGCACAGTATTGTACAACTGTGTCAAGGGCTTCAGCTGTTGTTTGGGACGCTGACTCAGTATGATTTCCCTTTTATATGATTCAAAACAAAGTAATTAACACCCTTATGTAATAGTAGCACATGTAGATTAATTTTACTGATGACTTCACTGCATAAGTAATGAATGAGGCATTTAACCTAAATCAGTTCTTCCAAGTAGGAAATTGATAATGACACAGCTAAAACCTAAAAATCCACAAGAATCGACTAAGGAAAGCTGACTGAAATTATAAATTGCAGGAATATGGTTTGAGGTTACACTATTTAAAAAAATAAAGAGCAACATCTATCCATTACTATCACCATTACTGTACATAGTAATGATTTTATCCTGTTCTATATATCTATAGACTGAGAAGCACCAGAGAAAACTGTTAAATTGCCATTTTGGGGACCTTTCATTCATTAGTTAACTTAGAGAAAATAAGACACAATCTTGGGACACCTATTAATTGATTTATTACATTTGAAAACTGATGTGTGAACTGAAATATTAAAAACAATCCACAAGTAACCTTGAAATTGCATATTAGCTACACTGTCTTCAACAGTGAATACAAATCAATACAAGGAAGAGGTACAAAAACAAGCAGTCACATAACAAAGGGAAATTATTATGGCTATGAGATGATAACCTGTTGCTTGTTTCCTCATAACTAAAGGTCTTATTAACATTCTTCGCCTGTGGCAGAGGGCACTGTAACATTTACTGGCCTTTAAAATAGCATGTCACCAGCATTTCCTGAAATCTGCAAAATATCCACCTATGACAGTACAACATACTGTAACTGTACTGCAGCTGCAAATAAGCACCTGTGGAAATTACCGACAATGACTACGTGATTTTTTGTTTGGAACATTAAGAAGACAGATACATATAACGGAAAAGAAAAGAAGATACAAAAGATACAATTAGCCATATAAAACGCCTAAATGGCAGACAAATATGATTTCAATAAAAAACTGTATTGTGACAACTTAAAACAGTTAAAAATAAACAAGTTACAGTTTGCAGGTAACTGTTCTCAGTCTCCACTTCCCTCAAGGAAGATACATATTCTAAAATGCAGGAAATTTGTATAATTTCATAGATCTATAACAACCACATGTAAATGTAACAAATTAAAAATATGAACAAAATACTCATAGTACTCTAAGTACAGCTCATCCAACACTCAAAAAGAGGAAGCAGCTGTAACTCTAGTGCCACACTGTGGCTATAATTACACATATCTACTACACTCAATCCATACTCCTATTCCATGGGAAGATTTATCTGGTCTAACAATTTAACACACATAGGAGAATACAGATTTATGTAACCTTTTCATCTCTCTCTCCTACAGGGTCAAAGGCTCAGGGTAAGTGCAGTCACATTTTCATACATTCCATACAGCCATGTGAATGCTTTTGATGATGTACATGCTCAGGTCATGAACTGTTTTCAGCAGCCATGAATGAAAAAAAGCTACAAAGGAGAAACCTGTTTAGCTTCACAGATGAATCAGCCTGACTTAACTGTATGTACTGACACACAATTGTGTATTCTCTGTCAGACTGTGGAGTGGCACCTCTGAACACAAGGATAGTGGGTGGTGAGAATGCCACAGCTGGGTCCTGGCCCTGGCAGGTCAGCATACACTATTTGTTGGCTCACACGTGTGGAGGGACGCTCATCAGTGACCAATGGGTACTCACAGCAGCCCACTGCATCCGAGCGTAAGACAAACTAATACTCATTCAACAAAAATCCCAAAACCCTCAAAAGCAAAGTCTCACTTCAGTTCTTGTTTCATGGAAACATCAGAGCCTTCACAGGTTCAAAACATGTGTACTCAAAGGCATAGTCTGCTTAACCCCTTGCACCATTACCACTTCTTTTGTGGTGCCCCACCCTGGACAACGCTGTCTAAGAAGGCAGTGCTGATTAGACTGAGTTATTAATGAGCCCGACTCAAGGCCTTAATTTCAAATATCAAATATAGTATTCAGCTATCTGACACTCAAGAGGGAGGTTTTGAAAAGAAATTGAACATCTTCTATTTTAACAGTCCCTTGAACCCTTTGCTAGCCCAATTTGACCCCATCGGCTAGCTAACGAGTCCAAGTGGACGTTTGAACCAAATTTAAAGAAATTCCCTGAAGGTGATCCAGAGGTATCCTATTCATGAGATTGGGACAGACAAACGGACGAACGAACGGACGACCAAAAACATAATGCTTCCAGTCACAGCTGTTGCTGGCCCGAGCAGTGAATTCTATTAAATCACACCTACTGCTGCTTGTCAATTTTCACTTGTTCCGACAAAAGGCTGGGTGTATACTGGACTGTGTTGTGGTGATTGATTGAACCGCCTGAACAAATAAGGAACATCTTCCTTTCCCTTTTCTTTTTTTTTTTTGTAGATGTCTGCTTTTACATAATTGAGGAACAGAAATTTACTCATATACCAGAAGTCTAATTCTGATACAACTTGAGAATTGATGCAGCCTGTTAGTCACTTAGTAGGTGTGATTGCCACAAAAAACAGGATCCTTCCTCCTTTTTTAGCCTTAAAAGACCAAGCCACACTGCATTCTGATCCCCCTCTAATATATAACCAATACCTTATCAGCTGTACTTCTGCATTTTAAATTTACTCATCACAGATGGTGTTTAAAGATGATGTACTAAACTGTTAATTCGGTCTCAAATTCTCACAACCCTCTAAAGCACACCAGACGTAGACAGTAAGCAAGCTGTTTAATTAAAATAAAGAGCAACATCTATCCAATATTATCACCATTACTGTACATAGAAATGATTTTATCCAGTTCTATGTAACTACAGACTGAGAAGCACCAGAGAAAAATGTTAAATTGACGTTTTGGGGACCTTTCATTCATTCTTTTCTGCCTGTACTGACAAATTTAATGAGTCTTTGCTTTAAATCCAGGAACGCAGCTAATAGATGGGTTCTCTACTTCGGAAGAGTGAATCAAAGTGGCCCTAATGTTAATGAGGAGAGGCGCACTGTGTCTGAAATCATCGTCCATCCTGACTACAACAACACGTTATTCAACAATGACATTGCCCTAATGAAGCTCAGCAGCCCTGTCACTTTCACCGACTACATCAGACCTGTCTGTCTTGCGAGTAACTCCAGCCAGTTCTACAACTCCACCCCCTGCTGGGCCACTGGCTGGGGAAGAGTCGGAAAGGATGGTGAGTTTACTCTCAGGTTGTATAGTTGGGGGCAGACGAAGCATTCAGACATTTCTGTCAGGGTATTTTTGTCATTTAAAATTTAACTTCTGTTTCAGCCCTAGTTTGAGCTATTATTAAATGTCTTTCTTAAGTAGTTGCCATTTATCAGATTTTTTTTTAATTTAGGTATAAATTAAAGTAATTCTCCATCCACACCTGTCTTTGAAAGATACAAATCCATTGATAAACAATATTTTGGGGTTACTGAAACTGGACTGATTTAATACTCTCACTCCTGCAGAGCCCTTGGTAGCCATTGAGAGACTTAAGGAGGTTCAGGTTCCTGTTGTTGGAAACAAGCAGTGCAGCTGCAATTATCGCCCAGTAGAAGAGGCAAACATCACTGACAACATGATTTGTGCCGGGCAAGAGAACAGAGGAACGTGTCAGGTAAAAATAAAAGTCATTGTTGCAATACCTAATGTAGGAGGACAGACTACTTATTATCTTACTTGATACCCCTACAATACACTCCTCTAAACCACTAATCATAGTGTATAGTATTCAACACATGCAGACTTCACTTCTTTGAAGGTTTTAAAAGAAAACCAAAAGCATCTTACTCTCCTGTATTCTCCATTATATCCTTCATCAGCATCTTCAGCACTGAGATGTAACTATGGAGCATCACAGGACTAAAACTTGTGTATTTTTATTATTGAAATTTTGCTGTCAGTGAGAATGTGTGAGGCTAGGCTACTCCAGTCTTATTCTGTAAACGTTACTAAGAGTGTCAATTAACTGTTGTGTTTTGCCTTTTTTAGGGGGACTCCGGTGGACCTTTGCAATGCAAACAAGGTTCAGTGTGGATCCAGGCTGGCATTACCAGTTTTGGAGTACCTTGTGCAACGGCTGATTTCCCTGAGGTCTTCGCCCGAGTGTCTCAGTTCCAGACTTGGATTCTAGACCAAGTGGCAGGGTCCAGCGTTAGCTTTGTGACATTCACCTCCAGAGGCCAAAATCCTGAAAGCAACTTTGTGTGTCGTGCAAACTCTCCTAATGCAACAGCAGCAACTCCAACTACGACCTCCATGGCACCAACCTTTGCAATTGAGCTTGCACATGTTGTATTCTTAGTGTTCCTGCAACACATTTTAGCTCTATAGCACAGTTTTGCTAAACAACTTCTCAAACTGAATGCAGACAATGGTAGGCTATAAAGCCGTCCATGTTATGAGTTGCACCACAGTGCCTTAATATTAAAATTAAAATAAATAATTAAAAAAAAATATTAATATGAAAACTAATAATGAAACAAGGTGTCTTCTATCACTATCAGTTACAATGGGTTGAAATGAATTACTCTTTGACTCAGAACTTACTTACTAAAGAACTAAAAACTAACTAAAGAAAATAATGTATTGAGTCTGAATTGGTATTGGTATTACTGACAAGTAATTTTTTTTTAAATTAATAAATACACATATAAATGAGGTGGAGAAAAAATATAACATTACTGATGTAATACGTAGAGTAACATTTCTTTTGGTAAAGAAATTGACTTAACACCCTTCCACTTCTGTAAATCATGATCATATGAGGATCTACGCTAAAAAGCAGGTAGTCAAAATTAAGAACAAGCGACCAAAAGCACCACAAACAGGGTCAGACTGGAAACTAAATTATTTTCGACCGGACTCATTTCTCCCCAACGTATCACAATTTCAGGCTATTTATAACATATAGGCTAAGCAACAGATATGAAGGCAGCTCATTGGCTGATGCAGAATAATGGACAGACAGCATCCATGTTTGTTGTGTATAAATCAATGTAGAGGTCATCTTGCAGAATCTGACTGTGGCTGAATATTGCTATAAACAAAACGCAGTGAATGTACTTCCTTTTTAAAGGATTCTTTAAAAGTAAAGCAAAACATACTGAATAAAGTTTTGAGTGTTTTTTTTTCCTCAGCATATAAGTCATGCACGTTTGGTGCCAGTTTAGCACTGAAACGATGTCTTCACAATTGTATTTTTAGTGTTTGGAAGCTAAAGAACAAATCGAAGTCGTTCAGTTTTGTGCGCGCAAAATAATTCATAGCAGCCATCACGTCTGGACTAGCTCTGTTAGCTCTGCTAGCGCTAGCTCCGGTATTATCTCCACCCACTTTGTCAACACTGCCACTACATGAAGATACCTGCGAGTCTATCATGTCTCTCGTCCTTGTCAGTGGCCTCCTCCTCTTGCCCCGGGCCCTTGTCTCCATCAGCCTGAGTACAGAGGCTTTCTTCCTCTTCATCTGGCTCCGGTGGACGGTTAATATTATTGCAGCTAACGATAACGCTGACACTGGCATTGCTAAACATTTGTTAACTTAAAACATTGTGCTGCATCAGTCTCGAGTTTTTTTTCTGCTTTTTTGACGTGCTCTGCTCTGCTCCACCTTTTCTTTTTGGGACCTTTATCCAGCTCATTTCTATTTTATCCGTTATCTTAGCTTCTGTTTGTCTTTTGATATTCTCCCTCCTGATCTCTGACATTACGTGAACGGACGCAACCACTTGAAGGGGCCCGGGGGGAGGTGAAGTCCTCCTGCACCTGCCTGGAAGTAGGGCAATACCACTCGGCGGCCTATTTAGCACCGTGTGACCCCTAATCAAACAGCCATTTTCCAACAATATTTTATTCCCATATTGCTGGTGGCTTTGTGATCAACTGGTGACCCATCCGGCATTTTCCAGATTTGCCAGTTCTAGCCTTTCTATAAGTAAATAAAACAAGAGTTCACCTGTGAGATCATCGTGAATGCACCAAACAATGGATGGGAAGTCCACATGAGTCACATGACAAATAAAATGTCATGTGAATCCACTCATCAGTCAGGATGTATTAGTTGACAGTTATTGCAATCTTAACCAAATCTTTTAAAATAAATGTTTTTAAAACAAGAATTTACCTTACTTGTTCAGCTAAGCAAGCCAGGTAAGTTATATTACTTCAGTTTGTAAAAAAACATCTTACTATGCTATAATGGGAAGAATAATTTTTAAGTTGGGAATCATTTACAACCATGTATTTTATATGCAAATGGAAGACACCCTAAAAGGAAATGTACAACCATACATTTCAGATAATTGTAGTTTTCTTATAAAGTAAATAAAGAGTGTGTGTGTGTGTGTGTGTGTGTGTGTGTGTGTGTGTGCATAATGATATTTGATATTAGGCTACATGTTGCTTCAGCTTCCCAATAATGATGTGCATTTACTCAAAATCTAATATAATTCCTGAAAGAGGAGAGGTAAGGCTTTTCTTCCCTTTTTTTACTCAAAAAGATAGTAAAGCAAAAGCTCAGTAAGAATGAAGTAAAGCCACATGTTAGGGTAAATGCTTTATTCCATGATAACAGTTTTATACTGCACTTGGTGGAATTAGACCAAGGAAAGAATAGCATAAGGTTGTGTAAAAACAGTGTGGTAATCTTCACCTGAAAAAAGGTGTTTAAAAATAAAAGGTAAGGGAATGGAGGCAGAACTTTTTTTCCAGAATCTCCTGGCTACAGCAACAACCCAAAGAAAAGTTTTTTCAAACTTTCCTTTCTACCAAGATGTTGTGTTAAGATGTTGAAAGTGTTATTGTCAATAGCAGAGAGACCGTTTCATAGGCAGTGTCTAAGAGGACATGTTTTTTTTTTTTCGGTGGTGATGTAATAATGGTGGGAAGATGATGGAAGGGGAGCTGGTGAGTGTCCATGCTTAATAAGCGTGGTTAGCCACGAACAGTGACTCTCCACCGGCAGCGCTGCTTCCACTATGCACATATTTGCCAACGCAGGCCTGGCTGTTAGCCTGTAAGAGGCAAAAAGGACAAAGTTATTGAATGCACATTACAGTACTGAAGTTCTCTTAAAAAAATCGACTGCAGCATATGTGTAACTTACTTTACAATGACATACTTTCATATATTATGTTTTTATATGAACATTTGTATTTATATTCACACGTACCAGAGCTCTCTTGATGAACTCCTCCTGGCAAGCCTTTCCATTCTCCTTCTTGCCACCCCAGGCTTTGAGGGCAGAGGCCTGCAGGGCACGGCCATAGGAGAAGGTCAGGGCCCAGGGCCTGTGCAGAGGGCACATGTTCATGGCGTTCAGGTTGATAGAGGCTTCCTCCTCACTCTGGCCACCAGACAGGAAGGTAATGCCTGTACGGGAAGATGATGAGAGGTTAGCAACACACCTCTTGAGACATTTGTTGAGACAATGTTTATACAATAAAAAATTCAATCCTTTTATAACATTTTTTTTATTATTTATTTTGGGTTTGCAAAGTCTGCAGATGTATGTATGTCAACATGAGAATATTTTGTGCATCCAGCTTACCAGGGACTGCAGGGGGCACGGTGCGGCGCAGGGCAGTCACAGTTGCCATGGCAATCTCCTGGTTGCTGTACTTGTGTGAGCAAGAGTGTCCAGCGGTAACCATGTTGGGCTTGAGCAGGGTGCCCTCCAGGTAGACATGGTGGTCAGACAAAGCCTTGTAGACAGCAGCCAGGACCTTCTCAGTAACGTACTGGCAGCGCTTCAGGTCGTGGTCACCATCGGGGAGAATCTCAGGCTCAACGATGGGGACAATGCCGTGCTGAAGGAGGCAGGGACAAAAGTCAGAACTACTATGTTAACAAATACCGACAGCTGAGAAAGGCAAGTTGGTCCTCTCACAGCTGGGTCCAGATTTTAAGGGGCTTTATTAAATTGCTTTGTTATTTTTAAAAGCAACAACAGAGACTTACATGTAGGTATTATAGTATGATTTCTTAATTGATAAAAAAGAGGCCAAAATGGAATTGGAGCTACTCTTTCAATAGTGCAGAAGGTTTTTAATATTTGTATAATATCCACCCAAAAACCCATGCTATGAAGCATGTGAAATTAAGAGGAAAACCACCTATCTGTTGCATCTTACCATCTGGCAGATGCTGGCATAGCGAGCCAGGACATTGGCGTTCTCAATGATGGCCAGTCTTGAGGGAGTGGTGGGGGTGATCTTCAGCACACAGCGCCACTTGGCAAAGTCAGCACCGTCCTTCTTGTACTGGGCGCAACGCTCATACAGTCCATCGAGACCTGCGAAAGAGGGATAAGTTAGACAGAGACACTACAAGATATTGATGTATTTTTCTTTTTGTGTCTAAAAGTGTTCTTCGCTCACCCTGGGTGGTTGTCTCGCCGTTGGTTCCGGCCAGGGGGACAACACCTTTGTCGACCTTGATGCCCACCACCATTTTTCTCTCTTTGAGATGCTGGGGGAAGGTCTTGCCACCGTCGGTCTTCTGGTACATGGTCTCGTGGAAGAGGATTACGCCACCAATGCAAGGGGCAACGCGGTCATCTGCGGTGAAGAGGAGCTGGCGGTACAGCCTCCTGTTCTCCTCAGTGTTCTCAGCATTGATGCTCTGGAAGCGCTTGGCCACGCTGCCTGGAGGTTGAAGAGAAAGATGAAAACTGGGTTGTGAAGTGCACTAGGGTGTTCGCAGACCATTTTCAGTTTTGTTTTTTAGAGATTTACATTTAAACCAGGCAGTCACAACCTAATTGTGTTCCTGATTATTTTGCTCAGTTTGAATGACTTCCTCTTCACATGTAGGCCTAGCCATGCCAGCTCTGTTATCTGATAAATAAACATAACAGAGCTTCCTTGTAAGATAAAGGCTTTGTTGAAATTGTTTACCAGTGGACTCGTCTGCGGCGAGGATTCCCTTGCCGGGAGCGACAATCCTGTGAGCAATATCGCTGAGCTCCTTCTTCTGCTCAGGAGTGAGGAAGGGGTATGCGTGAGGCATCCTGACTCTGGATAGGAAGAGAAGAAAGACCAAGAATGAGATGATGATGAAGGAAACATCTGACTACATGAGAATACGCATGGAGGGCAAAAGTTCAACAAAATTCAAACTGCAATGGTTGTGGTTGTCGAGAGAATGAGACACTGCAGAGGTGGGGTAACTAGTACGGATGTGGTGAAGCAAGAGCCCGACTGTATGGTTTAACATTTTCCTGTCTGTCCTCTATTGACGAATACATCAAACCAGCTGGTGACTATGTAGCTGCAGTTGTTGCATCTATAACTGCTGCAGTAACATAACGCTCTTTATGTGCTGGGGTTGCACACTATTCCCCAGGCACAATGTGCAGCAGTACAAAGTATCCAGTGTCAAAGAGCCCTCCACCCTCCTCTGCCCCATCCTCCACATTTCTGACCACCCTTGAAAAATCATGACAAGCACGCGGATGACCTATTCCATTTTCTAGCCTCTTATCCCTGACCTTTCTGCCCCCCTTCAATGTCCCTTCCCTCCTCATTCCTCCTCTATCACCCACCTCCTCTACACACCCCCACCCTCTCTCTCCCCTGTCTGTGCCTCCACTATCAATAGGCTGGACTAAATATACACAGTGTGCTACTGCAAAGCAACGGAAGCATTATGGTTTAGCAAGAAGACATTAGTTAGAGCTGAATGTGCAGCTTCCCACCCTTCACTTGTCAGAAGTCATGTAGTCAACAGGAAGGTTAGTAACTACACCGATATGACAAATATAGAAATATACATTTATAGATAAGTGAGCAGTCAGACTGGTGAGTCAAGACCAACAACAAAGCAGTGGAAACTTTGCATCACATAAATTGTTACATAGTAAAGCAAAGCAGTCAGGTCACTTAGTGTGTTGTGTACCAAGACTACATGTGAAAATATAAAATACTGAGGGAAAAAGTGTGAAAGTCAAGTGTGGACTACAGTGCAAATGAAGCAACTCGTTATTGAAATTGAAAAGTATCATTGAAAACTCAGTTTGTTTTAGTGTATCAGGGTTAGGCAAGAGTGCATCTGTCTGTGGGTTAAATATGGCTCTGGCCGTCACAGTAACCACAAATTTAAAAAAGCATAGGAGTAGGTGGAACCTTACATCTCTAGCATGTGTGAAAAGTTATGTGCCTCATGCCTCATAAGTACAAGATCTTCAACATGTAGCGCAAAAAGCCAATTAAAGCAATGCATTTATCTCATAGTTGTAATGGTCTGTTCTTTTACCTTTGAGTTTAGGAGGAGAGCTGAGAGAAGAGAGAGGGAGGGAGAAGATCCGGCTTTCGTCTGCGACACCCCCTCCAGCCTGCTGGCCCTTGTATTTATCCTCCCATTGTGACCCCTCACATTTCAGCTGCCCAGCTATAAAAAGATCAGGACGCAACCAGAGATGGCTCGTGACATTCAGAGAGACTGTGGCTGGAGTAACATGGTAGTGAGGAGCCAGTGAAAGGGCAAAGAGTATCAGTGAATGGCAGAGAAAGCAACAGAGAGAGGGACAGTTACTGTACGGTGGGAAATATAGGGATATACACATAGAAATGTTGTATGAAAGTATAGCATAAATAGGTGGGCAGAGGTGTAGAGGATATTATTTGGAAATATTCAATAAAGAATAAAGTTTCTTACATCTTCCTTAAACAAAATTATACATTGTCCGAGCACATCGCTGCAACCGGTACATCCTAGTTTAAGGCAATTTTATAAAGTGTATGTTGTAATGGATAAATACATTTTTCATACATTATACAAATGCAGTTAGTTTAAAATGTGCTGTCTCAACTGAGAAGAGCATCTTGGCACCCAGAGGTCATTTGAAAGGGTATGTGGAGGAAGATAACTGGGGTACATGCAGTTATGTACTAATAACACGCACACACGCACACTCACACACTCACACACTCACACACTCACATAGAGACTTGGAGAGCATGTGACAACATTGCTAACCTGCCCTTAGAAATCCAATCCAGACACAGCAACACAGTGCACTGATCCTTGACCTTTTCTTGACCTTTCTCGATCGTCAGGAAAGGGTCAAGCAGGGAGCCTGGCAAAGGTTGCACATGCACATAGTTAATTTGCACAACACTTTATACCTCATACGTGTTCTCACTCAGATAGGTCACGTGAAACTACAAGTCACAGTTATCGAAAATGCTGTGATATGACACATTGCACGTGCACCGTGGAGATGGTCAGAGCATACTGCTTTGAGTTGTGCAGACAACAGAACTCATAATTACCAGTGATCAGTAGAAAGGAAGAGGTTTACTTCCTGAACAAATTGTGGGCTGAATATTTCAACATGCAGAGTTGTGACAAAGACACAAAAAGCAGGGTCTCTTAATTTATTATCTACCCAGTAGACAGGGTTCAAATGTTATTCTTTTTTTTCCTACAAAATCTGTACCCAGTCAACTAAATTTCCATCCTCCATTGAGTAAATTGTGAAATATCCACTGCACCATTATCAAGTCATAGTCCAAAAACTTGATGGTTTCACATTCACAGCAGGTACATGCATAGAACATCTACTATGATTTATCTATTTCAAACTTATATTTAAAAAAAAAAACAGACATAAAGCCATCAGATAGTGAACCCATCACTATTCCACTAACTCATAGTGTTAGTGCTCAAGTATTCTAACAGCTGGGATGAGACAATACAGAGGAAGTCAAGCAAAAAGAGAAATGAACCTTTTTATTTTTAGAAGTATTGCATGGCTTGTTTGAACAGTTGTTTGGTTTACACCTAATCTCACTATGGTAAAGTAGAAACAAATAGTAGATTCAGATCTGTTGATATAAAATGTCACTTCCTCTCTCCCTGACTGGTTTCTTATGAAAAGTGAGCCATCAAAATATCTCAATGAAACACATTCAATGTGTAAAGGTAATTCCCTTCATACAGCCAACAACTAAATTTCCTTCCTGTTGTATATAGCTATATATACATTTAATCATTATTAGAGCAGTGGAGCAGGTTGGCTGCTGGGATCCTTGGCTCCCTCGAACCCAGGCTGCGTCAGGAAGGGCCCGCGGCTTGGTCAGTGTATTATGCTAGATGCAACAGAGCTGATTCTAAATGAGACGCACTTGTCATCCATCAACGTGAGAGCAAGTGACTTTTAGGATGAAATTATGAGAGGATTAGCAATGCTATTTCAGTAAGCAGGAGGGAATACCGGAAATCCTGAAAGTATTTTACCAACTGTCTTGGCAAGGAGGACGGATGATATGCATATGCAAGTTTTGTTTAGGCAACTTCTAAATCAACGTTATCAGCTGTGAGATCGGTGCCTATTGGGTCTGTGTCTCCTGTTCGGGGTCCGTCGTTTCCGCATGGGTCCAGGACAAATGTATTCTTTCTCCAACCCAGTTTAAAAGGAACGACGCCCACTTCCGTACGACGAAAGCCTCGCGGAACTACGGAAGACCTATCCCTAACCTTAAACAACATGGGCGTGTCTTAACCTTGCGATAAAAAAAATTACAAATGTTCGGGCTCGGGTTCGGGTGTAGCACCGCTCGCTTCCACATCGGTTCTGGTCTCAGCCTGCAAGTAGTGCACAGGTTTGGTTGGGTTCCGGGTAGTGCCTACATTTCCGGGTCTTGTAGGGGTCGGGCAGGAATGTTTGGACCTGTGAAGACCTGTGCGTCCACCACATCATTCTGGGTATAGCATAATGCTGCTTGCTCTGAAACTAACTTGTAAATGAGTTCCTTCTGCTCAATAGTCGTAGAAGTCGTAGATATACGGGTCTTGAAGGACTGAATCAGAATTAAAAAATGACCATGCTTTGTGCAATCAAGTGACAGCATCTAGTGTGTCCACACTTAATAGAAGGTTTGTCAATATTGTAACCCCTCCTACATATGAGTTCCTCTAACTAGCTATCAAACCTCATGATTTCTGCAGTTTGCTTGCGACATTCCGCTTTCTAACAGTAGAAAAAATACCTGTCATAGTTTCCAAATACATTCAGAGCTTAGAGACTGCATCACACTTTTAGCATTTTCCATGGGAAGAATACAATGGACTTCATAATTACTGCTACAATATTCTTGACGGGTAAGACACGTTTGAACCTCCTGATTTTGTCTTTCATTGTCTCTTTAAAAATATTTGTGCTAGCAATTTTATTTAATGACATATTTAATTTACACCTTCTTCAGCTGTGAGTTATGCATACCAAATATCATAAATTGTTATTTTATAAAAACCACCAGGACTAGAAGATTAATGACTACAAATGTAGAAAACGTAATGTAAAAAAAAAAAAAAAAAAAAGCCCTTAATATTGAATACAATTGAATTGCAAGTATTGTAAGAAAAGTCACCTGTTGCCATCAATAATTATGTCACTTTATAACAATTACATGACACTAGCAAGACTGGCAAATAATCACAAGACATTTCACTCTCTTGAGAGGTCACAATCTTTAGAGACAGATATCCTACATTATGTTTGAATGCAAATTGACCATAAAGAAGCTACAGCAGCGATTACTCATCTCTTAAAAGTAATCTTGCTGAGCCTACACAACTTGTGACACCATGACAAATATATCACAACCAACACAACACATTCTAGTTATCTGTCCCACTGAGGGGGTATGAATAATTTATCACTTCTGCTGCTGTGTGGTTTAAACTAGTTCAGTATGTATTTGACTTGTACAATCAAGAGCAACTTTTTACTGTTTTTCTGATACAACAATGGCTACAGAAACCTAACTAAGGGTGTAGTGACAAGAAAAAGCAGAACCCGAGTCCGTAACTTTTCACTGTGATGAAAACATTTAATTTATGAATTTATTTTTTGGTGAAGCTATGACAAAACTACCACATGATTCACAAAATGTAAATGATGCCAAAATTGATCAATATCTGTCAGACATACCTGACCAGTGTCAGTCTGAATTTCAGTCTATTCACACAATCTCTTATAAAGTTGTTGACCATAAGAAAATATTCAGATTTTGTCAGGCAGTTAGAGTTTGTATTGTATCTGGCCAAATAAGGAAAAAAGAGAAGGCTTTACTTGTGCAACGAAAACACTCAATGTCAGAAAATCCCATATTAGGAAGTCCTACGTTTCCGTGTGCAGTAGTACACAGTATCTTTAAAATCAAGGTAATCTCAGTATTTTTATGTAAAGCAGTCTTTTCTGCTTTTAAAGAAATATTAAAGAAGAAATATCACATAGAATAAGAATCACAAGTTAACAGGAAGGAAAATAACTGGCTCAAGAATGTAATTCTGAATCTATTTTTTAAATGAATAATCTTTTAGAGCTACTATGTTTAGAATTTGACATTTTTTTGACTGTGGTGCTCCCTAGTGGTATTATCAAGAGAGACAATGTATGTTATAATCACATTAACAGTCTATTCATAGTGGCTTTAAATCAGATTCCGATCTTTTCATTTCTCAGTGTTAAAAACTGCACCTTGTTTCAACATCGAACCCGTGGCTTGGAAGTCCTGGAGTAACAGAGCCGCAGGTTTTGGCTACCAGGTGGTGCAAAGACAGTCAGAGTAAGTCAGACACATGTGTCAGAGCACTGAGGACATGAACAGATAACATTTCATAATACAGACGATATAGGCTTTATTTAGCTACACTGTGCTCACCACACACATTCGTCTGATTTTCACTTCCTCAGCTTGCTCGTCAGCGCTCCCCTTCAACAGTATTCACCAAATGAAAGGGGTGAAATATACAAGTGCACCACTGAAGGTGTATCATGCCAAAAATTGCCCATTTCAGGTAGGTAACTATTGATTTCTAAACATTTCAACAGAAAGTCTTGAAACTAACATGGTGAAGGGATTTTTCCACCAAGCATGTTACTTGAATAGTATATTAGTTTTTTTTCTCCCCAAACATAACTGTTTACAATTCAGTGCCAGCGTTTGCAGTCAACATGTCCCTTGGTTTGACATTGACGAGGGATCCCACCAATCAAAACACTATGGTGAGTTTGTAAACTACAGAGAGTTCCACTACATTGTTAATATCAATGCAGCAATCAGTCAAAATTCCCCTTAAACCTTTTAAACTTCTTGCAGCTTGAAAGTATTGTTTAAGGTGACAGGAAAATAAATCAACATATTGTCATGTATATATGTTGATGTTATTGTGTTGTCTCTTTTCAGGCATGTGGCCCAACCATCCCAAAGGACTGCAGGAGTATCACCATGTACAATGGTGTGTGCTTTGCGATAGACCCGTCAAGTCGTGTTGGACTTCCTATTCCGTCTTCTCTTGAAGGTAAATGCCATATGCAGAGTTTGTGAAAAAAAATACCCATGATAAAAAGGTA